GAATCAATAGTTGAGGGATTTGGTGCTCTTTGTTTTGTGCAAGGACTACATGAAATGTCTACCACATAAGATTCAAAATCAAGAATGCTGAAAGGAGACGGAAGTTCTGCGTGAGTTGTGATTATGTCATCAAGAGACAAACAGCTCTAGCGTTGTAACGTGATACCGCGTTTCGGTAGCGCGAGCGCGAGAACGCCACCCATTTGCGCTTCTTTCCTTGAAACGTAACATCATGTGAAGGCTATCGCCAGAAAAGCCTGAAACATGGCCAAATTACAAGCTGCAACAGTTTCCAACAAAACAGTACGGAAACGCAAACGGAAAGATACTGAAGATGCGCATTTAGATGCTACCTCGTCCACGTCCCTCGAATCTGCGATCGAGCAAGATCAAGGAATATCTGCGACAACTGACAGTATCATTATTCCCACGAAAGAAAATGATGGTGGTAAAAAGCCACGACGGGTATCGAAGGGGAAAGCCACTCCTGCGCTCGCTCGAAATGAATCTTCTTTCACGAATCCTGTAACCAGTACCATTCCATGGCCTCTCTCTTTTCAAACTCTCGAGAAAACACATCGAGCATTGAATTTAGTCTATACATTCTGCTCTACACGAAAACATCTAGCAACTACTTTCGATAACCTCAAGAATGCGGTTGAAGGCCATATAAAGCGGGAGCTAAGCGTAGAAGATGTTGCGCAGATAGTAGCGTTGCGCCCGAATGGAATGAACTTCTCATACGTCGATGAGGCAATGTTACAATTGGATGTTCGGGGTGCAGAAAGAGATGAGACTTTCAAGGGTGGGCGGGCGAAGAATTGGCACGCTGCTGGACCTGCTCCCGATGCTTCCGTGGGAGGACTCACAGGTGTTGAGGGATTAGGGTATGGTGAAGGAGCAGATGGAGAGGGCAAGGAAGTTCTACTGTTTGAATTCATAGATGGTGATTTGAAGAGACAAGTTCAAAGTAAGAAGACGGGCGAAGCGGTAAAGGCTACCAGAAAATTGAAGGATGAGGAATTGAAGATGCCGGTTTTCAGTCAAAAGCAGATGATGAATTTAATTGAGAAGAGGAATACAAAGTTTGTTAGTGCAATCAATGCGTTTCTTAATCGATGCGATTCAGATGGTGTCGATGCAGAAGCAACTTTACTCAAAGAAGCTGAGCTTTTAATTCCTATACCGTCAATATCGAGAAGTAGCACGCCGAAGCCGGACCATAGTGTTCTACCCAAAAGCATACCTAAAGAACGCGCCAGTATATCGAGTATCATAACGGAAATCAAAGAGAGCGAATGGTATACTGGTCAAATTGTACCTGATGGCCATCGTGTCTTCGATCCTCAAGAGGCAATCTATGGGGATTTAAATTTTGTTCTGAGTCAAAATCTAGTTAATGCCTTGTACAACACCAAGAACATTACACAATTTTATGCTCACCAAGCTGAAGCTATAAATAATCTTCACGATGGACATAATGTTATTGTAGCGACTTCGACAAGTTCTGGAAAATCTCTGATCTATCAGATACCTGTTCTACATGAGCTTGAAAAAGATCCGCATTCTAGAGCAATGTACATATTTCCCACCAAAGCTCTAGCACAGGATCAGAGGAGAAGTTTGAAAGAGATGATGAGGTTCATGGCCGGTCTTGAGGAAGCTATTGTGGAGACTTTTGATGGGGACACGGAAATGAAGGATCGAAATTTGATACGCGATGAGGGTAGAATTATATTTACGAATCCAGATATGCTACATATCACTATTCTTCCACAAGAAGATAAATGGCGAACCTTTTTGCAAAATCTCAAGTTTGTTGTTGTCGATGAAATCCATGTCTACAATGGGCTATTTGGTTCTCACGTAGCTTTCATAATGAGGCGTCTAAGAAGAATTTGCGCGGCATTGGGAAATCGACGTATTAAGTTCATATCTTGTTCTGCCACGGTTGCAAATCCTATGGAGCATTTCAAAACAATATTTGGGATCGAAAATGTACGAATGACAGACTTTGATGGTTCACCTTCTGGCAGGAAGGAGTTCCTTTGTTGGAATACACCTTTCAAAGATCCCGCAGATCCTGCAAGTGGACGTGGAGATACACGAGCTGAGGCTGCTAGATTATTCTGTCAGCTAGTCCTTCGAGGAGTTCGAGTCATAGCCTTTTGTCGTGTTCGAAGACAATGTGAAGCTTTAGTTGGTGCGGTGAAAGAGGAATTGGCAACCTTGGGACGTCCTGAATGCATGGCTCGTGTAATGGGATATAGAGGTGGATATACACCACAAGACAGAAGACGAATCGAAAGCGAGATGTTTGAAGGGAAACTAATGGGTATCATTGCAACGACGGCTCTAGAACTTGGTGTAGATATTGGATCTTTGGATGCGGTTCTGACGGTGGGGTTTCCATACACGATTGCGAATCTGCGGCAGCAAAGTGGAAGAGCTGGACGAAGGAACAAAGATTCGCTTTCAGTTTTGATTGGTGATTGCTTCCCTAGTGATCAGTATTATATGAATAATCCGGATGAGATCTTCACCAAGCCAAATTGTGAGTTACAAGTCGACTTGCAGAATATGCTAGTACTTGAAGGACATGTTCAATGCGCCGCTTTTGAAATGCCCATTCGTCCAGATGAGGACGCAATTTACTTCCCTAAAAACTTGGCCGAGGTAGCGGAAGAGCGACTGGTAAAAGACGAGCTTGGCTTTTACCACTGCAGCGAACGATATAGACCCACTCCGTCGAAATTGGTCGCAATTCGAGACACCGAGGAGGATCATTTCGCCATTATCGATATCAGCCACGGTAAAAATATTGTTTTGGAAGAACTAGAAGCTTCTCGAGCATTCTTCACACTCTACGATGGTGGTATATTCCTCCACCAAGGAAATACATATCTTGTCAAAGAATTTTTGCCAGAGCGAAAGATCGCCAAAGTCGAGCTTGTCAAGGTCGACTGGACAACCCAACAACGCGACTACACCGACATCGATCCAATTGAAACCGAAGCTATCCGCCGCATCCCCAACTCCCTTTCTCGTGCTTTTTTCGGCGCTATCAAGATTCAGCAAAACGTCTTTGGCTTCTTCAAACTTGATAAAAAAAGACGCATTCTCGATGCCATCCAAGTAGACAACCCGCCTATCATTCTCCATAGTAAGGGAATGTGGCTCGATGTTCCTAAATCAGCTCTCGAGATCCTCGTTGAAAAACGTCTCAATATTGCTGGTGCTATTCATGCAGCAGAACACGCAGTCCTATCACTCATGCCCAATTTCGTAATTAGTATGCCCGGAGACGTCCGCACTGAATGTAAAATCGGCGTGAAAGATTTCGCTCAAAAAGAAACTACGAGGAAACGTCCTGCTCGTCTTACTTTCTACGATGCTAAAGGTGGAGCATCGGGCTCGGGTATTAGTACTAAGGCTTTTGAATTTATTGATTTGTTACTCAAACAAGCGTTGAGGAGAGTAGAGGGTTGTCATTGCTATGAAGGTTGTGTAGAGTGTGTTGCGAGTGAAAATTGTAAACATGCTAATGAGGTGATGAGTAAGGCGGGTAGTGAGGTTATTCTGAAAAGTCTGCTCGGGATAGAAATTGATGTTGATGCGTTGCCGATGGGGCCGCTGGATGAGAGGGATAGGGGGATTGAGACGGTGGTTTTAGCGGAGACGGTCATGGGTAGAGGGAGAGTGAGGGGTTTGGAGGATGTGGATCATGATGGGGATGTAAAAATTAAGAACGAGCCAGAAGATTGAATTGATTGAAATGGAGGGCAAGTGTACAGAAGAGCGGGTAATGATTGTATGATTGATGGGTGCGTGGTTTTAGATTATGTATGATCACATCACAGTCAGCATTTATATAGAATTGGTACAAGAAAACCAATCAAACAGATTTACCGATCCGTTTTCATCACAAGGAACTTCGTCTCCATACTTTCAACTGCAGCTGTTCGTTCAATGCAGAAAAGACTGTTTTGGTGCCTCGTGACAAGAGCAGGCGACCATATTCAATAAGCGAGAAAAATGTTAATTTGCGTGTTTCAAGTCATACAAGAAGGAAAGAAGACCTAGCGATGTTTTAGAAAGATCTCATTCTTTAATTTTTTGTTCATTTTGGGAACAATTTTTGGTGGTTTTTTTATGTTTGATTGTATAATTAACCTTCATTGTCAGAACTAGATAGATTGATGTTGAAGGTTTTTCTTAGATGTAGGGGGTATACCTTATTAGACTTCAAGTTTTAATAATAGAGATTTTACTTTTACTCTTTTTCCGGAATTTATTATTGGAAAAGATCATGTTCTCAATTCATACGTTTGGATAGTTTTATCATAATTTTGGCATGTTCCTTTAAGGGGGATGTAAAAGGGGTTGTCAACTACCGACTGACCAAGACTGTCAGTCGGTGCTAGCAATGTGCCTTATCAACGTTGAACCATATCTCTGAATTTTTTTCCATGAAGACAAGTGTTGAATCTATACTATCAGTTTCTGTCTGTATGTTTCAAGTATATCTTTAGTATTTCTCTATACTGTTCTTGAATCATGATCTCGTTTGACTCTTGTAGTGTTCATCTAGCAGTATCCATTACGGCTCTGAAGTTTCACACTCTAAAGTTTCACACTACATGAGAATTGTATTGCAAATGAAGTCGAGCTCCTGGTTGGAGCATTATGACTGGTACTGTCATCTCAAGCTTCCAAGTGCTTCTTCGTCTGATGATTGTACGGTCAAGAGAGTAGCTCATGATTCCTTGAGTAAATTCGAAAAGTATAAAGGCTCAACCTTTCTTCGACCTTTGAAATCCTCCATCAACAACTTCTGGGCTCTTACTCCTTGATATCTTGACGTCAACAAGATTCTTGAACATCTTTTCAAACTCCGCAAATAGCAACTCACGTCGTACCATTATCTTTATCAAATTTGTTCGCTTTGCAACAAATTCTAAAGGCCTTTCATCTTCCCTAACCACTTCTTTCATTTCAAAATGAACAATATGAATGCTTTCCGAGGAACAGATGCTGCTTCAGTGAAATTCAAGAAGGAATTAGTCCAATTAGCACCAGGATATTACCTCGGAGATCTCCATCGTCATATTTATATGACGGGACAAGACCTAATACGCGATGCGGGCACTGCATATCAAGAAGCTCTGGCAGGAGAAGAAGATGCGGCTGAAGATGTTGAGCCGGTTCACCAGATGATACCATGTAAGTTTGCCATCTTTCCCTCTAGCAACTTGCTTACTAACATATCTTCGCAGCGATGCAATCGTTTTGTGATCTCAGCGTAACCAAAGATATGATCCGAAGCAGCAGATCATCCTTCGAATTGTCGTGCCGGAATTGGCTCTCATCTGCCCGAATGACATATCCGGCATTTGGTTACTTCGAATTTGGTTACTCGCCATTCGGGAAGATTGACTACGAGTCGTATTTTCAGAACGACAACGTAATTGGTAATGTTATAACCATAAACATTGAATCTTATCCAGCCTCTTTATCATCTTGGTTACACGTACTACCAAATAATTTGGTCGGAGACGGTAGCGATACCGAGACCCTTAGAGGCACTGAGGATCAGTTCAGTAGTGATACTGACAACAAAGGCATCTACGATTCCGACGATAGCAAGGAGAGTGAAATCATCAGAAATTTCGATGAGCACGACCACCCAGATTCTGTATCTCTGAGGTCTCTCGAAAATCCAAAATCTCTTGTGAGCATTGCATACATCCCACCTCACAAGAGAGGCGGCCCTGATAACTCACACTCGCGATCACAATCCGACTCGACTGTTCTTCGGTTGAATAACTTCTCAGGAAGAGACAGAGACAGACCGGGAAATCAGCCTGAAGACGGTTCACAATGGCAGGAGAACTCTAGTGTGAGCAGACGACCATTTACTGGAGGCTCTTACAAGCCGCACTCTAGTCCTTACGTGCCAGCCTCTTTACTTAGTTGTCACACCGGCTTAATGACACAGAGTGTTCACAGCCGATCGCTCTCAACCCAGTCAAATTATAAGGCGACAGGGCAAGGCACAAAGGCAGTTAGAGACCTTGCCGACAATCTTAACTGCTCGGTCTTTGTCAGCCATCTCCCAGAGGATGTCAAACACAAGGAAATTTTTGCAGTGATTAACACCGGGTCCGTAGTATCCGTTCATATCAACGAACCTATTCCTGGACGTCCGTTTTCCGCCGCTAAGATCACATTTAAATATCCTGAAGGAGCTGCCCGATTCATGGTACTAATCAATAGTACCATGGGTATTCAAATTCGCGGCCATCATTTGGCTGCCGTCTACAACGACTACGGCATGGTCAGACACGCGCAGGAACATCAAAGTCGGGTTATTCATATTCATGGACCCTATAAACTCATGACTGAAAGTTTCTGGAGAAAATACTTTGGCAAGGTCACGAGATATCAACTGGATCACGTTGCTTATCTGCCATTTGACCCAAACAACAAGGTCACAAGGTCTATGGAGTTTCGCTTTGCCAGAATCGAAGCACAGGCTCAGTCGATCTTGATAGCTATCATTCATGATCCTCAGTTTGAGGGTAAAGTATTCTGTAAATATGAGCCAGATCCTTGTGGAAAAGGTTGGGAGACCTTACCTCTTAGATAAGGGCCTTTAAAGAATTGATAGAGTGTAATGGGTTCAGGATAAAATGGGACAAGTGGGTGTCGATGGCAGAAGACTTTGGTCACGAACGCACGAAGACTGGCATCACTAGACATATTTGGTAAAAATTCTAGATATATAGTGCAAAGAGAATATAGGTAGCGAACTCCTATAATGAATATATTGAAACCAAACTAGAGTACTTATATTCTTGAACTCATTTTGGCTTTCGATATGAATTCCTTTCTTTTCGCAAGTGGGTGATTAAATAATTGTCACATCAAATAAAAACTACGCCGCTCTCCTCTGCCTAAGTACCATCCTCTAGTTCTTGCGAACTAAACTTTTACAGCTGACAGAAGTAGACATTCTCTTCGAATTCATCCCGAAGTCGGATTCCATATCGTTTGCGGATCTGATGATGCGAAATGGCATACAGATTTTAGTGCAGCATATTATTCATCTAATGAGATCCATCCAAAGCTATCCCTCTGTACATGGCGCTGGAATTTTTTTATCTAGTTGGGTGATCACCAGAATTCGTGACCCGTGATTGGTAACTGCAGTCATTATTGTTCAGTGAATCGGTAGGCTTGGGTCATTTGAGTTGAGCTAATCCTCGGTTAAGTCTTGGCTGTGCCTGAATCCCAATTCACAACTTCAAAGAAACTACCTAGATTTATCTTTCAGGAGAGAAAATGGATTTCTTATGTTGCTTTCTAATTCTACGGCTGTTACAGAATATTGTGTGTCAAAGCTTCCAAAATAAAAGTGAATATACAATATCGGCAGAAGTGATGTGTGAAAATTGGCCTATGGCCATGAAGCAGAGGCACCCATTGCTATTCTGTTATGTAAACATTATCCTTAACTATCTATTAGTTACATTTTGAAAATCTTCTGAAACAATCACCTAGAAGGCAAACCCACGAAAAACAAGATCAACATTTAATAGTATGAAAATGGTTCGACTTCCATTCCAACTGCACTTCCCTCTCAAAGTTCTGAAAAGCCTGCTGTCCTATCTTATCTTTTTGAAACCATGTGAAACTCTTGCCTTCCGTATCAAAACATCATATCATTGAGTCTAATTGAATAATACTCTACACACAATAACTTGCTCAATGACATCATTCATTTAGTTTATTTTCCAGTGTCTTCGTCGTATCACAGCCACCGAGGCTTATCTTGTAATCTAATTTCAATTTCTGGTCCGAACAGAGGTACCAGGAGCTGAAATCTTGAATTGTACCAGTTTTCACTCGCTCTTTTCTTTGCCTTGAGTTTCAGTAATCACTGCCAAGCCAAACTAGCTTTTTTTACCTTATTATTCCAAGATATACGCGTGGATTTATGGTTCGCTTACCTTACTGTCGCGATCGTAGATAGATATGTGTTGGTTGATCTATACTAAAATTGGAATTGTACGATGACATCGCTATATTCACTCTTCCAATGTGAGCCGTATGCAATTTTACCTTGAGTTCAGTACAGGTGTCAGAGCAGTAGGATGCGGCTGTGAATTGAACTTGCCAGTATCTTGCTCAGGTAGCAGAAGTTATTTTTAATTTATAAGTCTTCCATCCTCCCAAACTTCCATCTTACTCTCAAGTTATTTCCAACAACTTTCCTCGCAGTTTCTTTGCACATTCATTTATTTCAAACAATCTTTCTTGAAATACCTTCCAGGCAACTACTCCATATAACCTGGACTTCTTTTCTTCTAATTAGAGTTATCTTAGTCTTGTATCTAACAATTTAGAAAGAAACTTCTATACTTGTTGCCTTCCAACAACTCTTTCATTAAGAAACACTCGTTTTCTCTTGAGGAGATCAGTAAACACCAACTACTCTTCTTTATTATTTTATTTCAAGATGGATATCACACTCTCCAAATCTTGGTACAATGGTCGCACCCTGCCCTCAGAAAACTCCATCAAGAATCGCAAAGTCCAAGGAAAATTGAATGTGGGAACTCGGTCAAGTACATCATCCAAAGCTAGTGGTATGTTTTCCTTCTGCCAAATTATTATTATGGTAAGGTGGCTAACTTTGAGTCAGATACCACAATCACCGCTAGGGAAAATCCTGCTCCTTCTCGAGTCTCAGCAAATCATGTCCAACGTCTCGAAGGCCTCGCGATTCAAGCGGAGCATGATCAGGATGAAGAAAATGAGTTTGAAACTAACAGCCAGACCCTGGGCCAAAGATTCGCGAGGACGATGACTCTTGATGAATCTATCAAAAATTCTCCTCCAAAGCGCTCCCGATGGCACGAGATGTTCGAATCTCGACACCGAATGACAGCTCCACATAATTCTGCCACTAATGCCAATCGAAATAAATCGCCATTGAGTCTATTTGGAAATGCCTTACCCAAAAGGTCGCCGGCAAATGGCGCTTCTAGTCAGATGATGGGCTCTAAGAATGCTTCGGGTCCAACACCAACACCGGGTAAGACCTCCCACTCAAATGACTCTAAATTGTTCAGAGCATTTCTGAATCGTGGTGATGGAGCAGTACCTTTCTTCATCTCGCCCGCTGGTACCCACCAGCAGTTCTTTCCGGTCTCGGCCCGTTCATCCCAGAATACTTCTGTGGTTGTCCCATCCAACACTCCTTGTGAAGGTATTTGCGCTGCCGGTTTTTTCTATGCAGCTGAACCAACTCAGCCAGCTCAGGTAGCTCAAGCAGTGCAAGTAGTTCAGCCAGCTCAAACGGTTCGACTAGCTCAACCAGCTCCGCAGCATCTGAGGACTGTTCGATCAATGAACAGTTCCAGAAGTATCAACTCGAGGTCAACTGCTCACACGAGGACTGACACTAGTTTGTCCACGACTTCTGGTGCCGACATTTGGACTCCCGCGGACCGCAGTTTCGACACTTCTGCTTCTCAATACACGGGTCATACTCGGATGACATCTGCATCTGGAAGTTTTGTTGACAAGAGTCAACACACTCGGATGGCATCAGCGTCGACAGGTTTTGGTAACTTCTCATACCAGCCCGCCATTTTCGAGAATGAACAAATGACTACTGGCCCCATAGCTGACTCACCGCCTGAATTCAACGACTTTAACCAAGTAGCTCCAGAGATTCTCCCAGTGTCAATGGAATACTTCACTCAAAGTATGGCTGTTGCTCCAACGACTGTATTTGCTCCCCAGCCTCCTACAATGGGTATGGACAGCATGATGACAGCACAGGTTGCAATTCCGGATCTTTCTCACTTGGTGAAGAAGTTCCGTCCAACGAACATGCTTCTCCGAGAGCAAGGCATGATCCCAGACACCTCTCGTCAAGATACCAACTACGAGGGTGACGAAAATCATCCTGATCTGCTTGATCTTCCCGAACATATCAATTGTTGTATGTGGATCATCAACATTCCGGAAGAGATCGGATATGCGGAATTCATGCAAATTCTTGATTGTGGTGCCGTTGCCGCGCTTTCTATGGTCAGACCTCAAAATGGCCATACTACACAAGCCGCCAAGGCGACTTTCAAGACCAACGCTGGTGGTGCAGAGCTTTACCGCCGCGCTCGCAACAAGGGTGGTCTTCGCATTCGTGGCCGTAAAATCAAAGTCTGGTACAATGACTACGGTGCGTACGAATGGAAGGGACCTGAGACCCGCTTCCTGGAGATTGAAGCACCTCAACTACTTGATGAAGCCTTCTGGCATGGCTACTTCGGAAGTTGGTGCAAGTACATCATCATCTCTGTCACTCCAATGCCATGCAGGAAGTACGGATTTGCATGTACCAGGTTCGAATTCGTCAGAATTGCCGGACAAGCACAGACTTGCTACCAGGCAATTCAGAAGGATATGACATTCCTAGGACAGGTGAACGTACGGTATGGAATTGATCCTAACGAGATCTAATTTAGATGCAGGCAACTGAGTGAGGGGCTGCAGAGATACGATGGACTTTGTTCGAATGTTTGAGTATGGGTGCGATCAGGATATAGGCTGACGGGTCTGAATATTGGATCTTTGTTACTGATGGACCTTACTGGCCATAAATTTCGATACCGGTGCATTGAGAACAACAAGGTTTTCGCCAATGTAGTCGTGGCATAGAACAAGGACAGAGCGAGTTCTCTCGCGTTTTCAAGCCGACGATGTGCCAAGCAAATCCATCGTCGAGGTTCAAAAGCTGGTCGGAATCGACAAGAGGAAACACACCGACTACACACACATACAAGAACGGCTAGGAGGTCACTCAGAAGTTACAGACCAGGAAACTGTAACATATCGGCAGCAAATCTTCATGCTGGTTTTGAAATTGCTTCTGTCCCGCTGGACTCAATGAGCTTTTGGAATACACATACCGAACTTTCCTCCCACAGGGTTGTTTCCTTTGTCCTAAAACTTAAAAAATGGAAATTTGATTGGAGTAATTCTCTTATTAGATGGCCATAGCTGTGACGAATGTATTAGTTAGAAAGATAGAAAATTTACCAAAAATAATTTAAAAATCTACCATTTTGTTGGATCTTGAAATTCTCTATTCGTTTTCCCATCAGTCAACATGCCTTTTCATTCCCTTTCTAATTTAAGCAATCCCAATGCAGTAACAGAAATTTCCCTTGTATGCTTCAACTTCTATCTAGTGATGTGAGCAAGCGACAGTGTCATTTCAATATGAGCAAAACTAAAGAGTATGATCAAATGTATATAGCACAACAGATGGCCTTATTAGTCTCATACTCGCATCAGAACCAAGCAGATAGATAGAATTCGACCGGGAATAATCGAATCAAGAGGAAGTTCAGCCATCTATTGTTCATGATCCTCATATCAAACGACAAGATGATGCAATATCACAAGCCTCGGTGCTTAGACTTAGAGACGACAGAGCATGTACTATAATAATAAGTTCGCTAACCGCAATCTACTTATCCTTTAATTTTTGAGTAATCGAGGAATATGTAACGCACTATAATATCAGACAGAGCCAGCTATACATCTCCATGCGCCAATCTCCAGCGTCAGCATTTAAAGATCCGCGTTATTTATGGGGCCACTACTTTTATGTGAAATCATATCACAAATAGAGGTCATGGTGAGAGTTCAAGGTAGTATCTTTTTATAATATAGTAATCTATAGATTTCACGATTTCGCTTGAGGGGCTCGTCTAGTCCTGCATCAAAAAATTAGGTATCTGGTAATTCATACCCGTTGATATGTCTAAACTGTATCTAGTAGATCTTTTTATCATAAATGGTTTGTCATAGGGGACTATGTCTCTGGACACAGTTATTCTGTTCCACGTAGGTTGAACAACACCAGCCCGCAAAAAGAACTCCGACCTTAATAGTGAATCTCAGCCAAGTAGCTGCCATCATTCAATCACATCAAACCCATTTGAATTTGACAATATTTCTACCACCAATCTCCAAACTCTCAACTCTCCTCTCCCCTTCCAACGATCCTCCTCTCGCTTACGGGAAATCCTTCGCACAAGGATCCGGCGCATACTCCACAATCAAATGTTCTCCATAAACAGGATGCATCTGCAACGCCTCCAAACACTGCGTCGCCTGACCATTAATTCTCGCAAACCCCATAATCATTTTCCGATTTCCCTTCACAGCCGTCTCAACATATTCCCAACCCGACAACTCATGATCACAAAAAGTTTCAAAAAATACCTTGAAATGATCGTATACCACGTAGCGACTCGGACCTTCGATAGATATCATACGAGTTTTATCTTCACACTTGTATCGTCGATATCCGAATGTGTTGTAACGTGCGTTGACTCTGCGTCCGCGAATAACGATCCCTTCTGCACTTTCGCATTGGTCTTTGAAACGCGCAGCGGCTTCAGGATGTTTGAAGACTAGTTTTGCGGCAGACATGATGTATTCACCCTGTGGACGGGTGATTTCGAACGCGGTGACGGCACCGCTATGGATTTCGTCGAAAACTTCATGGGCTTGGATGTCGGCGGCAAGATTGGTGAGCCAGAGGGCACAGTTGAGATGGTCGGAAAGTTCGCGGATGCCAGCGCGGGGATTACCTTTGTAGTTTCCTGATGAGGTCTGAGAATCTTCTTCTGAGGGAACAAATGAACCGTTTCGTCGTTGGAGTTTTCGGGAGGGGGAAGACTGAATTGTGAGGCGTAGGGGTCGATTGAGGGGGAAGATCGAGTTCTGCGTTCATGGAGGTTATGGTGTGGGGATTATAAGTTTGGGTTGGGTTGTTGTATTGATTCGTTGAGTCTGAGGAATAGTGAGATACGAGTGAGGAAGATGAATTGTGAGTATCATGATATGTGTTTTGAGGAGGGGTGTAAGTGGGAGTCACACTACCCGAGTAAGACTCGCTGAAAGTAGTAGATCGAGTAAAGTAATTGGGTGGAGGAGAAATTTGTCCGGTTTCATATCGTCGTTGCGCCCATGCTTCTTCGTCGTATAGATCTGCCGGATTATATGCAGTGGAGTGTTTGCGATTCCTTCTATATTGGGGCCTGAAACTTGGCTGGTATCTTCGTTCCTGTTTGGGTCCGGCAAAATGGTTATAGTTTCTCCATATATGTCCTCCGTTACGAGGTCTTCTTTTTCTTTGAAAACTGGGATATTGAGTCTGAGAAGAATTTGTATATTCAGCAACTTGTTCTGAGAGAATCTGTGGCTCATTAGGGTCTAAGTTGGTATATTGGCGTGATACTGTTCTATTTCCTGCGTCTTGTTTAAAAGAAGGTCTGTCTGAGGGAGCTCTTAGCTGTCCAGACTGCTCATATGCTTTGTATTCACAGGTATTTCCGGAGAAAACATGGTGTCTAGCCATGTCATGTCCACCTCTCTGCACAAAGTCGTTATTGGATAATAAATTTGTATAAGTGTTCATACTCGGCTGGATCATGAAGTTCCGATGGGAATTTTCGAGCTGACTGCCCTCATAACGCAAATCTCGATCAATATCAAAATCATTTGACTTGGCATCTTGGTGCTGAGCATAATATTGAGCCAAGTTGCCCCGAATTGGGAACTGATGATCATGTTGATTTGTATGGGAGACATTACTCTGGGAGAACTGGTAAACGTTCTGTGATTGTCTTGCTTCTTTGCGTCGGCGATTGCCTTCTAAGACTTCGGCTAATCGTTCCTGGACGGAGGCTGGTGTTGTACCTAAAGGAGTAGTGGTTAATTTTATGGGTGTTGATTCATCTCAAGCAGGAAAGATGTTCAAAATAGTGCAGGGAAAAGCTTACCATCAAGCAAGAACACATTTCGAGGGTTCATATTAGCATCGTATGTAATTGGAAGCACGGGTCTAGGCGGGCCAGCTTTTTTGGGATTTGAATGATAGTTCATTTTGACCATCTAAAAGAAGGCTCTGGAGTATCTGAGGGGTATTTGTAATCTGTAAGATTCTGTAAAGGCAGGTGTGTAAATATTATAAAGTAGATACTTGCTTGTTGAAAGTTCCTTGTGAATGTTTGAATGGAGTAGAAATGTATTGCTCAGATGTTGTACGATCTGTCTCGAATATCCTTTATTCCCAAGACTGAGAGGAAGGAATTTGGGATCTCGAAGGTATAGAAACAAGACTCCTCAGAACAGCATTTTTATATTAGTTTTCTCTCTTAGCTGTATAAGCAATGGTCTAAACGAAAGGGACCACGTGCAGTAACTTTTGTCTCCAATACAGCAGACTATATGTATGGACCAAACATAATCAAGCACAGTTTTATTCACTGGAGATTAGTGCTTCGAATGTATTGCATATTTTAATTTTGGTAAAAAGAATGACTCGAAGATGAGGGATTGATGAGAGCAATTATGGATAAGTGTTAAATCCATGGGAAGTCAAACGGATCGAATCTGGACAGTGTTTGAAGCAATATCTAGCTTTAGTTAAAGTTTGTTTATCGTTGAGCAGCTGAGTAGATTTTACTCATTTTCACTAAATCAAACAACTTTGCAGTTTTACAGACTACTTTTCCGCAGTCGTTTTTCTATCAGCAATGAAAAGATTAGACTCGCTTTATCCCCATGAAATTGACCCAACTCAACCGGTGAGCACTGTTATAGGACTGCAAAATCTAAGTGTATATATAGTTTTCTTCAAAGTTAAACATTGGAATAGATATCTATGTTCGTGCAGTAACTTGAGAGACTGACATTTTCATCAAACTGGGGCAGCAATACTACTTTTAGACAATTAAACAATGCCATTCCAGTCTTTCATACTTTTTTGGTACTGTAGACTCCAGTCTAATTTAGCACTTTGTATTCTGAGCAGTGTATCTTTCCATCAGCGAGCAGTACTCCCCTCAATCCAGCCAAGACAGAGCCACTAGGTAACTTCCTATCGCCAATGAAGCAATACACGTATCAATACGGCCTTTCCTTACCATGCCTATACTCATTCATACCGTAGATATCCAACCCTTCGCATCAGCCCTACAATTTCTCCAAAAACACAGCCGTACCCCTATCCATACGGTTTTCCCTCAACACTAAGCGATGTTTCCTCAACAATGTAATAGTACCCCTTCATTATCATTTCCTTCATAAGCTCATCAATGCCTGATCTTATTCTCAGAAACTCTTTTCGCAAACTCTCTACATCTTGATTACAAGTCTCTTTCATCAGGAATCTTTTCAATATCACAGACAGATCTTTCGGACCATTCTTCACGATTCTCGATTCTGAGTCTTTATTCGAAAAAGATCAACAATAGGCACTCGAGAAATTCTTCGAATTCCCATCTTTCATCAAAACAAACAAACTCGTAATCAACAGACATGTTATCCAGTATGTCTTCATTAAACTTCACCTCCTCTTTTCCCCACAGCCAAAACGGCCAAAATGGTTCTTTCTGGAACCCTACCTCGCCACTAGCTGGTAACTCATCACCATCCCAAAGATCACATCAAGCCTCGCTAACCCTCCATCCCCTAGCTACTCATCACCGCAGACAGAGCGAGTATCTCTCCAGAACCATGACCAATGCTCTAGGCACAGTTCCATTACCCAACTTCAACTTCGACGAACATAAGCCACGTCGAATTACTTCTCCATTATCCAATGTGAAACCCATTGGATTTGAGAGAACAATCTCCCGTCAAATGGGATATTCACACTTCAGCATCTCGGAAGTTGGAGTCGATGTGCCTTTGTTTGAAGAAGAAGAAGAAGAAGGTGGTGATAATACGCCGATCATCACCCAGTCTTTGGTTTGTGGTCTCCATCCAATTCGACATGGAGCATCTTCTTCAAGGCAGGAAGATAATATATCTGTTCTAGATCTTGAGACTTCTGTTGCGGGACTGAACATCGACGAGAATACTTCTCTCTCAAAGAGGAAGAAATCCTACGGTACCCTACAGGAGTATGTTCCGTATGCTCATGCTCGTGATCATACTGCAAATACGGGTATGGACCCTTCCAACGTCATCGGCGGACATCGCGATGTCACTGCAATCTTTCTAGGACCACAAGTCCAGAGCAGTCTACCCGTGAGTGATGGTGCACCACACGCACCACCTAGTCAAAATCAACCACTTGCTCATCGTGCTGTGGGATATCAACACAAGAGAACCATGACCAGCTACGGAGGTCCTGGGCAGTATATGTCACAGTTCAATGCACAGGTAGTTGGTAGTCCATCGAACATTGATGGTGACAGCACCCGCAACAGTCAGACGCCGACTAATAGCTTTGTACACCAACAAGGCAATAAAGTACCACATAGCTTGAGAACTCCTATCGGAAACTCGCACTCAGGTGCGTATTCCGCTCAATATAAACCAAACGCTACCTCCGCCAGCGTTCTATCAATAGTTGCCCAGACCTCAAACCACAGATCTGGCGCAACATTCCAGTCCAGAGTACGGCCAACGGACCAGCTTCTGCGAGAACAAGGACTCCTCCCAGCCCTCCCCGTCTCCACCCCAGCCGCCTCGCACTACCTCGGCGACCACGACGACCGCGATTTCCCCAATAAATTCGGGGGTGAAGCCAATCTCCCCAGCGAGTTAAACTGCGCAGTCTGGATCCAAGGCATCCCCAAAGACTTCGCTCGACAATTCCTCTACCAGGAACTCTTCAACGTTGTATCTACTGGCCCCATAATCGCAGCGTACATCTGTCTCAGGGGCGATCAGCATCCCCACCACGCAGCAAAGGTAGTATTTAAACACCCTGAGCACGCTGCTCGTTTATTTCAGCGAGCTTTCTTCCAGGGAATCTACATCAATGGGAACCGTATTCGTGTTGAGCCAAATAGACATGGTCACCGTGAATTTCCGCTTAGACTGCATTACCAAAGTCGCGTGGTCCTGATTGAGGTGTTTAATAATGCCAGTATGGATCTTGCGTTCTGGCAGACGTTTCTCGCCAATTTGTGCGTGTATGATATGGAGAATTGTAAACATCTATCCTACAGTACTCCACAACGAATGGTGATGGAGTTTCGATTTGCGCGGATCTTTGGACAGGCGTCGGTTTTACTTGCGGGAATTAGAAATACCGCGTCATTTGAGGGAATTGTCACAGCGAGATACATTCCAGATGTGCCTTGCGATATCTGTGACATGTACTGAGCTGGGGCCAAGTTTGGTTTTTGTTGACATTGTTTGGTCAGCCAGCGTTTGGGAGGAATTAGTGTGACAAGATAGGGCGGTGTATTTTTTCGGCGAGGCCGATTGTAAAGATAGAATTGCTAAGATGGGTAAGAAATCGGGATTGGATTAGGAACTAAATAACAATATTGAAATTACATCATTACCTGTCAGGATAGTGAAAAAAGACATCCTTCTGGTCCTATTCCAATTTAAAGACCAAGAATAAGCTTCATTTCTTTTTTCAAGGTCTTTTTCTTGGCATGAGTAAATAGCAAATATCAAAATACAACCCATTCATTTCTGATCTTCGATTCCTGTGACATACTGAAATGGCTAATTCGCTCTTCCAAGTGATGGATGCACTTCGAGGGGCCCCTTTATTCTTCGCATACACAACTCCAACTATACCAATCAAAAATCTCATATACCATTCGAGTTCCCATGAAGTTTTGTGTGAAGTGAAGAAGGATATCAAGTCTGTTAAAATGGGGTATTCTCAAGTATACTTGAAATGAGGTTTTGGAGTGCTTACACGAGGTCATCATATAGCCATACCTGTCTTTGGATTCCATCATTTTCCATTTCCATATCCATTCACATCGAACAGGATAGCTACCCAGTACTCCCTCGCAATTCATATTTCCCAATCCCAGTTCCAAAAGCACTCGAATTCCAAGATAACTCACTATTCAATTGAATTCATATCTATCCATTGGTAATTACCCAAGTATCCATATAAACAATATCAATTCCCTAGATCTACAAAACTTTTTGGTATCATAATACAACCCATGCCATGCCATGCCATTCCATTCCATCCCGTCCATGTATGCATTCATTTCTCATGATTTAACAAATTGCCCAAAGACACAACATGCTAGCTATGCATCCAGAAATTTTCCAAGGGTCTGACCTCTATGCCAACTCGAAAGTCACATGATCTCAGCCGGCGATCGAAATCTTTCTCATTGACACACACCTTCGCCAACCAAGTGTCATCACTTCGACTTTTGAAACCTCCGCTCATAACTCCAAGTGCTCCCCAAGTCCCTTCCAATACCAATCATGCTATGCTCCAGAAATTGATGCTCCTCAAATCTACCAAATCGCGTATTTTCCTTCAATTCAAGCCCGACACAGATGCGCTCATCATTATCTCATATTACCCCGTCCATCCATCCATCCATCATCTACCACTTTTACCAACTCGAAAATGATCTTTTCTCAACCCACGATCTCGAAGCCTCCGTTTCTTCATCAACTCATTTACATCATATAACACCAAAGGAAGTACACAGTCCACATCCTCAATTTGCTGTCCTTGGTCTTGAATCATCTGTTCCAACGTCAGCAGACGCTCTAGAGTCTGCTCCTCAAGTAACACCATCTCAATTCGATGCGTGTCAACCAATTCCTCGATATGCGCTCCATGTTTCTTTGAAAAAGCTGATACTCGTTCTTCCGTAAGACTAAGAACAAGGGACTTGAGCTCTTCTTCGGTTTTGATACTTGGGTTTCTGTTCTCCTTGTCCGCTGATATAATTTCATCCTTGACACCATTCAATAACTTTTCAATGCGAGCTTCATACTCATCTCTGAGTATCTTCTGATGGTTCGTCAAGAAACTTTCAATGAGCGGCTTGAACCTTTCCTCGTACTTAATTTCGAGCTCGGTTTCTCGTGCAAGCATGCGTGCTCGGAATGCTGTCTCAATGTTCTCATCATACTCTTTCTTTAATGCCTCATCTTTCTGTGTCAAAAATTTCAAGAGCATTGGTCTAAATGTCTCTTCATATTTAGCCTCTAATTCGCGGTCCCGCTTGTATGCAAAATTCTGAATTAGAGATTCGGTCATTGCCTTGTGGATCTGAGCTTCGGCCTTTAGCCTATTTTGCATTTTTTGATCCATGAGAGTTGCATTGACTTTCTGACTCTCCTTCATTTTCAGAGTGAAATCGTCACATGCTTTCTCTAAACTTCGGACTTTTTCATCCATCGTATTCATAAGTGTATCTGATTGCTTTTGGTAAAGTTCTAGCGTAGACTGGCGATGCTTTGCCTGAGTTTCCTGTAAGGAACAAATCTTTTGTGTCAAATTTGCCTCGGATGACTCAAGGGTTTCTTGAAGTTTGGTAGTGGAGATGTGGCCCTGCTCTTCTAATCGCCTTTCCATTTCTTGAATGATCTTTGGAGTTGAATCTAGGAATGCAGTATGCTCAACCAGTAATTTCTCCATAGCAGAAGAATTTTTCATGACCTCGGTATCTAGATTGCGGAGTTCTTCTTCACGATCTGCTCGCCATCTTATCCAGTCAGATGCCAATAATTCTGTACGGTTGGTATCAAGACCAACGTTCGTTGCCAGATGTGCGAAAGACTTTTCTTCAGCTTCAAGTCGAACCTCGCATCCAGCCAATTGGGTTTTCATGGCCGTAATCGTTCTCTCTGCGGTCGCCAGCCTCCCCTCAAAAATTGCTTTAACTGAATCATTCTTTTCAGTCTGTTGATTCTTTAGATTCCCAAAATGGTTTGAAATATCAGCTCTGACAGTGACGAAGTTTTCAACTATCAAGGTCTCTAGCTCTGCAAGTTTAGCATCGTGCTTCTTGTCTGTAGTATCAATCCATTCGGCAGTTCTATGATCCAAAGCCGTGAATTTTGTAGAATCTTGAGTTATCCTTTTCTCGATAGACTTTATTCTACTAGAAAATTGTCTTACTTGAGTATCAAAGTCCGAGCTAAGCTGCGATTTCAAAGCATCGAACTGGCTCTGATCGTGTTGCGGACCACGTGAAACCCTGTTCTTAAGTTCTTCAAAATCTTCATATCGCGAAGCTAAAGCAGTCTGCAAAAGGTTGACACGTTCATTAATTTTCTGGCGTTCATCTTCTATCTGAGATAGCATCTTTCTGCGAAACTCTTCTTCCAGCTTACAATGGCGTGATAGATCATGTGCTGTACCCTCATGCTGTTGACCGAGAATGAAAAGCCGACTACCTTGATCTTGTATGGCAGACTCAATGCTTGGTATTGGTGCCTAAGGAGGAATGTTAGCATCTTCGGCAATTCTTCCACGGATTGTGTGCAAAGGGCACTGTTTACCTGCTTAAGAGCTTTTATGCTGCTTTGAGCATCTTTAAGTTGGGCTGCATGACTACCTCTAGAAGCTTGCAACGACTCGTTGACCTGTTCCACGAGTTTTAGACGCCTAGATGTTTCGACTTGTTCTTTAGATCTAGCTTCGGCAGCAAGAAGTCTAGCGCTCAATTCCTCTGTTGATAGTTTGCATTCTTCCAACTGAGAAAATAGCTCACGGTTACGAGTCTCTGATTCATCAAGTTGTCTGGCCATCTCCTCAAATCTATGCTTGTGTATATTTTCCGATGATAGCAATCGATTTTCCAAATTTTGTATATGTGCAGTCAAAGGCCCAGTGCTTTGCTGTATGGCGTTTGCTATCATGCTTTCTATAAGTCCACCATTTGCACTTGAGCTGTCTGACACTCCTGCTGCAGGCGGGATAGGCGGAGCATGCACAGGTAATGGTGGTGGTGGCATGGCCGAATAGATTGACATCGCGGAGATAGGTCGAGACATAGCTGAATTCTCGACTCTGAATTTGACATTTTCCAGATGGGTTTTTGATTTCAAATGAGTCTCAAAATTATTCGTCTTTTTGTATTTCGAAACCTTGTGCTCTGTATCACAATCCAAGCATTTGATATCGTAAAGATCTGTTGCTTTAAACCGAGAATCCGGATATTTTTGGCGAAGTTCACTTAGACCTCTCTGAAGCCAGATTGGCAGGGACGACTAAGAAGTCAGTTTCCAAATCCATTAATTATGCCGAAACTACTTACCAGGTTTTCATCTTTTAGCTCTGCATTCTGCGAAAAGTCCATGTGTTGGTAAGGTTCAGATTGAACCGATGGACTGTAAAATTGTTCTGGCGCAGAAATTCTCCGATTTCCATCCAATGGCGCAAGTGCAGGTCGTGCCAGTCTCTGAGGACTAGAATTTCTACTGTTCAGCCTGAAATGACTTATGGAAGGAGTGTCATTCCCAGAGCCATCGCTCTCTTCTACCTCTATTATCCTTCGCTTTCTGAATCTCGGAGCCAATCCTTTTGGATCAATGCCTTCCCTCAGTTTTCGATCGACATTGTTATGCGATTTCTCGACCTTTACATTTGGCGCTAGAGGCTGTACGGCATATTCATCGGAGTTGACTTCGTTGTTGGAATTAGTGAACGACAAATCGATGTCTCGAGGCTTGACAAAATCGTAAAGTCGCAAGACACCCTTCCCCTCATTATTCTCAAGCAATTCTAATGTTGTGCCCTAGTTAGAGTTAGTACAATGTCCATAGCAAGCAGAATATATTCTATTTACTACCTCATCCAGCATTCGAGATACAACAATTTTGAATATCTTTTTTTGTTTTTTAACCAAGGCCGAGTTCTCTACCAAGACGCGATCCAGTTGATCGAGATAAGGCTGTTGCATTACAGTACCGGAAATCCCTTCGCCCGGTGGAAGATTATAATCGTAGAGAAATCGAACTACAAAATTCCTAATACGGATATTATCCGCATCAGAAACCTCTTCGTCCGCCATGATTGTTATCAATCGGTTGATGAGGGGAGGAGGGGGAGGGGGAGGGAAATGTCAGGTGGATTCGTGATTTCTCGCGATTTGGGCGTTTGGTGTGTGTTCCTGGATCTAAGCTCGGGAGTACCGAACCGAACCATGGCACGGACAATTACTAATTTTTGACCCGCACAAGCTTCAGTTCGATTAAACGCGGGGAACTTTTAGATTCCTCGATGAACCTCACCGGGCACCATCAAATCATGGGAATTACTCCTAGGAGCTTTGTCTCAAAACTATATCTATACGGAATCATCTCTACCTATCTAACCTTCTCATTGTCTACGACTAGATGCATAAATGATCTGAATCCTTGCGCAGACACATCCCAGAACAAGGTTTATGTCCGCAGCCAAAAGCCACAGGGAGGGAAGAAAAGCAATAAAATGACAGACAAATCCATGGCACAAGAATAAACAAAACAAGGGAGCTGATTGAGAGATTATCATTTACCCATTCGCTATTTGCTTCAAACTTCTCCCTTTCTTTATGAAGAGTCTATCTCTATTTCTACCCAACATCTGTCTGACAGTCTCACGAACTTCTGGCAATCATCTCAAAGTAGAAATGTCCTCCAGAAAGAAAAGACAGTCTCTAGCTGAGGCACCATACCGGCCTCATCATAACTCTACGAGCCTTCCAAGCAGTGCGGCTTCCCAGATCAACATAACACCTGCTCTAATATTGTGATGCTAATCTCACACAGCCTCTCGTCGCAGCTCACGACGTAACACATTGTTGATCTCTACATCTCCAAGCATTGGTATAGATGAGGCTGGTGTTAACGAATCGCCTCATGATTTCGATAAAACTATTACAACTCTGAAATCAGCAGCAGAATCTGTAACGGTTCGAGTCTGGCAAGAGACGGCAGACGAACAAGCACGGGCGATTCAAGCTATGAGGTCTGCAATTAATATCAAAGATTCACGGATGCAAAAGATGAATCGAAAGATTGGGAGACGGGATAAGACTATAGGCAAATTGAAGAGACGATTAGATCGCACCAAAATGGCACTTTCAAAAGCAGCCTGGCCAAAGTTGGACGCAACGATGGGAATGGGAATCGAGGATGACGAGAGGATGAGCATGTTGAGGGGCAAGACCCCGGCGTCAGCAGATGGGCTTTCCACAGAATGTGGAGAGAATTGTTCTCGTTTGGTAAAAGAAAATCAACAATTGAGAGATCGATTACATGAGGTCGATGGGTTGTGTATAAGACTCAGGAATGAGTGTAGCAAGTTGGATATCAAGATCAGAGGACTCGAGAGGAATTGAGGTGAGATGGGAGAACAGCAGAGCATATGTTTGAGAACTTGTGTTTGTGTACCTAGTATGCTTGAGTACTGGTCAGATATGAACACACCTTATGTATTGAAGCTGTCAATTATTCCCTTCAAATAAAACATGTTATCCAAGATGTTGGTTGCCATCTGGAAGTAGGATAATCTCGTTGTTCAAGCAACAAATTAACATTCCACACAGCTTTGGACGACAACTCAACGTAGATAATCTTCATTCATTTCTTACTTCACTTGTTTCTTATATCAATTCTTTCTGGCTTCACTCATTTCATACTTCAATTCACTCTCACTTTTACTTCCACCCCGGATAAAACTCACGTGGCTTGTTTATTACACTCTTTTACTTTTTTCCTTTCATTTTCTTTTTCTAGGCACAATCTGACAAATATATGCAGCTTCCCGTCGCTGTTCACACTCACCCCTCTTTATATCACAAATCTTTCATTCATTCTCGAGTCGAATAAATCTTATTTCAGATTTTGAACCAGAAATACAAACATAATACTCTATTCAATTGTCAGTTTCTTCAATCCACAATCCACAATCCATCATCCAAATTGTTATATACTCAAAGTCATTTATCTAACATCACTTCCCTCTGTTGAAATCCAAACAAACCTTTTGTGATTTCAATCGATTCTGTAATATCATGACGTCGAATAAAAATAAGAAATCGACTCCTCATAAATCTCCTCACAAATCTTCTCCTCACAAACCTCACAGACCGGGCAAAGCTCATAAATCACCGAAAGAGAAAGTTGCGCCAGCAGGACAAAGTCTTCCAATACTTCCCCTAAAGACTGCGGACGCTATTCCTGCGATATTGCCTCCCACACGAAGAATATTGTTTTCTCAGAGTCTGAAGAAGAGCAATAGTAAGTAATTTCATTTGTTTCCAAGGTGTACAATGACTAACAAGTGATAGGTCAACAACCTTTCTCGTCTCATGCTGTCAATGCTGTCAACATCGATCATCAGAAGACCAGTAAGTAATAATTGATTTCTGTTTGAGGTAAATCACCCGCTAAGAACATCTCTCAGAAAAACACACATTATCCTCTCCAGCTACGAAATTTTCAGATGATCGACCATTCAAGAAACCATGTCTTTCATCTCCATCTCCTGCGAAACGTACCAAGCTTCTCCCTGTAACACCACAAAGAGTCAATGGACGAGAAAGAACAATTCCGTCAAGCGACGATGAAGATGAGAATGAGAACGAGAGTGAAGATAATACACCAAATCCACCAAGTCGGAAGAGGAAATCAAATGCCATGGCCGGTGGAGCAGGAAACCACAAGAAAACACCACCACCAAGATCATCCGTAACAGTTGTCATTCCACCAAAACAACAACCTTCCTCCTCATTTTCTATCATCCATCCCAATTCACCAGCTGTCCAAAAAATTGATATGACTGTCTTACGACTCGAGAAAGAAGAATTACAACACCGCCTCGAATCTTCGTTACAACAAGTACAAAAAGCCATGAGCGAAGTCAAGGAATGGGAGAACGAATGCAAGGAAACAACCGATGTACAAGATAATCTTAACAGACTTCTCCGTGCTGAGATTGAGGATAAGGAGAGACTTCAAGAACAATTGGAATCTTTTAGAGAACAAGCACATGGACTCAATCTCGAAGCGAAGAATTGGGAGAGGAAATGGACGGAAATCGCAAGTGAAAATGATGCATTGCGGAAGCGATTTGATTCCAAGATGAAAACACGGAAAGGGAATGAACCCACCACACAACAATGGCGACTTCAATACATTTCCGAAAATGAAAAAACCATCAAACTCCAACGCGAACTCAAGCAAATGAGAAAAAATCCAGAACCCCTTCACCTCACTCAAAAAATAGAGGAGTTAGAACTCGAGCTCTCAAATCTGAGATCAAAGCATCACAGCACAAGAACCGGTAAAGAAACCCCCCAAGAAAAACACCTCGAATCAACAAACCCACACCTCGCAAAACGAATCTCCCAACTGCAACAAGAACTCCAAAAAAAGAACCCCTAATCACCACCCTCCCACAATCCCGCGAATCCGCTCCAAACCCCCAACCCACCACCCAACTCATCACAGACCTCACCACCCAAATCCACACTCTCCAACAACAAGTCCTCCAAACAAAACACCTCTCCCTCCACATCACACAACTAACCGCATCTCTCGACTTCCAAAGCGATTTGCTTTCCCAAGCCGAGCGTACGCATGGTTTCGAAACGACAGCTTTGAAGGAACAAATCGCACAGCTGAAAATGCTCGTTTCTTCAGAGAATGCACTTTCGAACGAGCTTGCAGATCTCAAAAAAGGATGTGAGAAAATGAGAGAAGAGATACTGGATAAGGATGAGGAGATTGAGATTTTGAATGCGGAGTTTGAAGAGGAGAGGGAGAGGATGAGGAGGGAGGTAGAGAGGTTGGAGGGGGAGGGGAGGGTGAAGGGGGAGGGGTTGCGGAGGATGGGTGTGTTGGTTGCGGGGTGGGTGTTGAAGTGGAGGAGTTTGGGGGAGGGGGAGACGGAGATCGGGATCGGGAAGGGGGAGGTTCCTGGGGTAGAGGGAGTAGGGATTTGTGTGGATGGCGTGAGGATGTGAAGGCTTGAGAGTTTGTATGTATATTATAATCAATCTGCTTGATTTGTTTCTATGTTAGCAGGATAACTGACAAGGAATGAAAATGGCGAATTTAAATGATAATATGGGGTGAGGATGTGAGGGCATGAGATGGGATGTGGGACAGAGGTCAGTTTATTATGCTATGACTATGACTGAGTGAACGAGAATGTATATTTATGATGGATTCATTTGTTTTTAAATTTGCAAGATAACTGGACTGGAATGAAATAGAATGGAATAGAGTGATGATATCGATTCAAATGATAATACGGGGAAGAGCAGACTATACGTATCTGTAGCGGGTGGAAGAACTGTAGATAGAAATGGCAGAGAATCATCACATCACATCACATCACATCACATCACACTCCAACATCAAGGTGTTCACAGAGTAATCCGTAAAGTGTGTATAAGATTTACCAATGGAAGAAGAAGATCTCTCAACGAAGATCTCACAAACAATCAATAAAGTAGGTTTATGTATCTTCAAAAGGTTAATCAATCAGTCGAACCTTATTCGTGCCTAGTATTTATAATACATTGAAAATGGAAAGAAGAATTCCTACCCTACCTACCTACGCTACCATAAAACCATTAATCAATGAATCAATTCAATCAACTCCTATCCCCTATCTCCCATCTCGTTTCTTTCATCCCCCAAAACCATTCTTCTATCTAAATTCTCAAATTACTTTTCTCTCCTTAATCGACTTTTCCACCACCATTAACACCACCTAATAATCCATCCTTACCACCATCATCTACTCTAAAGAAACCACCCCTTCTCGCACCAATCTTTCCTCTTCCATACATTGTAGCACCAAGGATCATTCCTAGTGCAACTCCGAAACTGAGGAATGGATGTCCTGAAATTGCACCTCTAACATTGAAGAATGCTTTTTCAAATGAACCCACTGTACTCTTTGGTTTGATAACTGGAGGGTTCACTACAACCTTAGGAATGGTTTCCAAAATTGAAGTACGAGAAGGAATGATATAGTTCCCGGTGATTGTTGTATCCCAGTAGCGTCGGTTCTAGTTGAAGCGTCAGTATATCCAAGCAAAGAAAGAAAAATTCGAAAAGAAACAACGGATAGAATACTCACATCTTCGTCATTAATAATAACCTTTTCACCATCACTCTTAACTTCAATACCATAGGTACTTCTAATCCACCTTTCCCAGAAAACTCCATCAACCCAAGCGAATCCAACCTCCTTTTGATCAGATTTATCCATATTAATTCTGATACTCTTGGCAGCCCTCAAAGCTCTTTGGTCATTTCGATCTTCTGCTTCTTCCAATCTAAGTTGTTTTGCATCTCTCAATTCTTGACGTTCACGTTGATAATTGATGATTTGTTTATCCATCCATTCTAATGCAGCTTGCTTCAATTCTTTCTTTGCCATTTCAAAATCATGTTCGCGGTCTCGAGAAAGAATTGCAAGGACAACAATTTTACCATCCATGATTTCGCGAGAGTTTGAAGCTGTGAGTTCTGGAACGACAGGTAACCAAACAGATTGCATCCAATGAAGAACCTTTCTGAAATCGCGCATATCTTGAGGTGCGAGTGCTGTGTAATAAGTTGGTCTTCCATCTCGGGATACCAACAAACGAGGCCAAGTTGTGATCTTGTATCGATCAGCAAGAGCAGCACTGTTGGTCTTGACAAGTTTGGCGTGTCCGATCAAGCTCAAAGTCAATCTTTCCAATGCAGCGAAATCTTCGCTTGTAGTAGCATGATCGTAAAAGTAAACAAAGATAACATCTTCTTTCTCCTCCAATTCCGTAAATTCAGCCGCATCGATATCTTTGACACCATCTCCAATATCAACGGCCTTGTTGGCAAAGGTAACGAAATCACCCAATCCTCTAAGTCCTTCATATTCGACACGTTCTCCGCCGCGGAAGAAATGAATGGTTGGGTATCCTCGAACGTGGACGTCCTTGCACAATCTAGACTCTGCTTCACAATTGACTTCTCCGATGTTCAGTTTTCCTTTCATTTCCTTGGCCAATTGAGCCCAGTTAGGAGCCATAGCTTGACAATGATGACACCATGGGGCGTAAAACTTGATAAACCAAGGATCCTGTGACATAGTAACCAAATTTTGAAAGCTCTCGGCTGTAAGGGATACGGATGTACCGAGGGGATTCGCAGTTTGAGTAGGTTTTGAAGGCTTATTATCGATTGGTGTGGCTTTAAGAATGGGCTTGGTGGTGATTTTGGCAACTTCAGGTTTCGTTTCCTTGACGGCATCCTTAACACTGTCCTTGACGTTTTCGGCAGTATCCTTGACGGCATCCTTTACTGGAACAACAGCGTCTGCGACCTTATCTGCTACTTTCTCAGCTCCTGTCTCTGGCTTCTGCGCGGATCCTTCGGATGTCTTTTCTGTAGATTTTTCGGATGCCTTCTCGGATGCTTTCTCTGTCGATTTCTCGGTTGTCTTTTCAGTCTCCTTCGAAGTAGCTGCTTCAGGCTGATAATCTGGACTTTGTGTTGCACGTTCTTCCGGGTACTTTGGTCCACCAATTGGTCTAGACCCTGGTCTGATAGATTCCAAATTATCCTCGATGAAAGCACCCAACTTTTCCATATCTTTAGGTCCAACAAATCGTTTGGCTTCCTCGCCATCCTTATATAAAATAAATGTTGGGAAAGAAGTTACGCCGTGATCTGTACAAGCAGTTCCGAAAGCAATACAATCAAGAGAACCGAAATGGTAGTTGTAGTAGGCGGTGAAAGTGTTCATTGAAGTCGACGCCGTATCATCAGCTCCCGATTTGACCGGTTTCGAAGTGTAATAGAATTCGTAGAGAGTTTGCCATGTTGGCGCAATGTGTATACAATGCGGGCAATAAGGTCTAGAACCATGGTGAGCATAGTGATCTCTCCAACGGGTTGAAAAGGATAAATTCTCACGAGTGATGTTTAACAAACCAATAACCTTCCGCGACTGTCTGATTAAATAGTTCTCCATCTATATCGGGTAGAGGGGGGACTTGAACTCCATTAAATGTTGTTGGTTGTGGTACATCAGCAGCTTCCTCTTCACCAGGTAAATCGGGAGAGGCTTTCTCTATTGATTGTTCTCCCGTCTGTGCTAATACTACAGAAGCAAAGACAGTCGATAATAACGAGACCGAAAGAAAACGCATATTGAAGGAGGAAGTTAGGGGGCTATCTGCACCCTGAAATCAAAAGATTAATGCGGGTCGCGACGAATCCGCCAAAGAAGGTAAGAAGAAGAGGTTCGTTGCCCTCAATTAATTTGAAATATGACCGTCAATATATCGCATAAGTATCGTAGACTCAAGAATCGTCTTGAGAAATCGTTATGTGTCGTGGGGGATAAAAAGAGTGAAGTGATGTGAAGAAAGGATCTCGACTCTCATCTTCTTTCATTTACTCCATACAAATTGATGGAACACAGTTGCACCATTAGCGTTATTCGCTAATAGATCAAATCCTTGTAATTTCTTTTTTTGGACGAAATTACACGTGATTATGGATCCTTCCTCCTATCACTCTTCAGATACGGGGTATCTAGTAGTTTATCGCGAGTGAACAAGTACTAGGTAGTTATATCAACATTCGAGAAAGTTCAGTATAAAGTGTTTTCTAAACATTGCAATCGATCTCTTGAAGTGGCGACTTGACTTGCCACCCACTTCGTTTTGAGCACGAATTATGATATAAATTGTCATTGAACAAAGGAAAGTCTTACCTACGCATACATAGGTATCCATCCAATCATCGATAGCCATGGATCAACATCAAAGTCAAGGTTCAGATGAACTTGCTCAGAAGAAACGTAAAGTAGACGATATTACTAATGATAAAGATAATACTAACACAAAAACGGTACCGAGAGGTATACATAGATCGATATCACCACCTCCATTGCGAAGACGTAGGATAGGAAGTCCCAAGCCGGTGATGCTTGAGGAGGAAGAAAGTCCTAACCGGAAAGAAGTCGATCAAAAGCCGGTTGAATTGTCCGAGCAAGATTTGATGGATAGCAAGAATTCAGTGCTTGAACATACAAAGCGAGGGGTGGTGAAGTCGCCATTCCAGCTTACAACAATTCGAGATCTGCCCGCCTCATCCAACGTGGACGCTGTATCGCTAAGAGACATTCTTGGTGATCCCTTGATATCAGAATGTTGGGAGTTCAATTATTTACATAACCTTGACTTTCTTATGGAACAATTTGATGAGGATGTACGAAATCTCGTCAGAGTTAACGTGATTCATGGTTTTTGGAAAAGGGAGGATCAATCCAGACTTAATCTCGCGGTAGGCTGATTTTCTTCTTACTTGGTTGAATTTGACGACGCTCCGCTGTGCCACTGCCGTGGAGGCTTTTTCGCTTCGCTCTATAATGATACAGCGATTTTGTCCCTTTTGTAAACCGTTCACAATCTCCCATGCCCTTATATTCATCATGTACCCCCTTCTCACAATCTTAGTGCTATGCGAATGTTTGAGGATTCAAAAACGAGATTGACGATACATAGACGATGCCCCGCGCGGAATTGAAATCATGCTGATGAATTTCAGGAACAAGCCTTGAAATATCCTAATATCAAGCTTCTCACGGCGTATATGCCTGAGATGTTCGGGACCCATCATTCTAAGGTATTACACCCCTAATAGATCTACAACTAAATCCTCACTTACTGACGTGAATAGATGCTCATTCTTTTCAGACACGACTTCACTGCTCAAATCATAATTCATACAGCTAACATGATACCATTTGACTGGACAAACATGACCCAAGCTCTATGGAAATCCCCCATCTTCCTCTTCTCGGCCCAGAGAAGCCAACCCCAATTGAACCCTTCAAAATAGGCTCAGGTCAAAAATTCAAGTTAGATCTTCTCAACTACTTACGAGCTTATGATACTAAAAGAATCATTTGCAAACCATTAGTCGAACAACTGCTCAAATACGATTTCTCTGAGATAAAAGCAGCCTTAATAGGCAGCGTACCAGGAAAACAAGGAATCGAGATCTCTCCATCACAAACCGCATGGGGTTGGGCCGGCCTCACCAACGCTCTCAAATCCGTCGCATGCTACCACGACGCTCAACCAGAAATAGCGATTCAAATATCCTCCATAGCATCTCTAGGACCAACAGATAAATGGTTAACACACTTTCTCAAAGCCCTTAACACATCCAAATTTCCGAGGAAAACGAATCCAAAATTCAGAATTATTTTCCCGACTGCAGATGAGGTCAGAAGGAGCATAAATGGTTACGCATCTGGCAATGCTATTCATACCAAAATCCTCACACCAGCTCAAGAAAAACAATTGGCGTATCTAAAACCGATGCTTTGTCATTGGGCTGGCGATGGCGCTCAACATTCTTCTCCATCGTCATCACCATCTAACTCCCCTTCTCAATCCTCTACTCCCTCAGAACCAAAAATCCAAGAAGCATACCGCAAACGTGCAGCTCCTCACATAAAAACTTACATCCGCTTCAGTTCAGATACAAGTTCAAATTCTTCGTCTCAAAGATCAATAGATTGGGTGCTCGTCACTTCGGCCAACCTCTCCAAACAAGCATGGGGCGAACCGCTCAATTCAGCAGGCGAAGTTCGAATCTGTAGTTATGAGATCGGAGTGCTGGTGTGGCCTGACTTGTGGGGGAAAAAGCAGAGTGGGAAGAAGGTCAAGATGGTGCCGTGTTTTGGGAGCGACACACCTTTTATGTCTTCTGTCTCTTCTCATTTGGAGATAGTCGATGAAGAGAAGATGGAGATCAAGGGAGAAGAGGAAATTGGAAAGAGGAGAAAAGATGATGGCCGAAAGGAGGAGGACCAGGAAGAAAGCAACACGATAATAGTAGGCGCACGAATGCCCTACGATCTTCCTCTAGTCCCATACGGCAAAGACGATATCCCATGGTGTGCGAGTGCATCATATAGCGAACCGGATTGGATGGGGAATACGTGGAAGACATAATTCTTATGGGAGTTTTCTTGATTATTCTCTATTTCCCTCTCATAAATTTTTATCTGTTTCATCTATGATATAGGCCAGTATTCGCTATTGACCACGAGATATTGACGGCGTTCATAACAGGGATTGCGGTATTATGGCTTGGAGGAAGCGGGAACATACATGCTGTGCAGGTAGTGAACTGGAGTGCACGCAGGTGGGAAATTGGTATGTACATCTAGACACACACGTAGAGAAATTGTGGGTTTGCAGGCTTTTTGGCTTGAATTGTGCGATAATATCATAGGTAGAGCCAACGGAGGAAATCTTTATCACTAAACATAATGCAGAAATAAACAAATTCGACAGATGCAACACAAATATGTCTTTATGCACGAGAATTTGATACGAAACCAACTGATTTATTGCATAATCATTCGCTCATTCTTGCTTGCTTGCTTTCTCAAACATAAACATAAACCTCCACTATGCATTTCTATTTCCTTCCAAATCCCTAGCTCAGCTATGCAATCCTTGCATATTCTCCATGCATTCCTTCCGCAAAACCAACACTTTCATTGAAAGTTTAGTTTGCACCAACAGCCTCGGGAACCTTATCCGCATCATATCCACACTTCTCCTTTAATTCCTCGATCTTGGCGACGTACTTTTCTTTGGCTTCCTCGGCTGTGATGCCGGAATCGACCTTTTCTTGCCACGCCTTCTTCTTGGCTTTGCCCTGTTGTGGGGAGGGGTGTTAGTTTTTGAGGGTTTGGGGTTGGGATTATAGGGGTGAAGAGACAGATGTCGAGTTGATGGGGAGAAATGAGAGGAGAAAAAGGTAAAAAATTAAGAACGAACCTTGATGTCGAACATTCCTGGAGCCTCAGCTTTGGAGATGTCGTCACCGATGGCTACTTTGTATAAACCTATTTGGTGCATCTTGTGTTAGCATGTTTCCATTTGCTTTCTGCTATGTCAATGTTTATCTGTGCTTATCGTCCTTCGATCAGAACCCATTATGCAGCGTCTTCGAATCGAGTTTTCGAATCACCAAGACATATTTCCCAAGCCTCGGTTCTATGCCAAATCTGCGGAGCTGAAAGAGAGTAGAGCGGGATAAAAAATACATACTGTAAATCTCGAGTAAATCATCAGATCCAGGCTTACTAGTAAGCTTCTTGGAATCGAGAACTGCGGTATCAAAGGCGGACATTGTGAATGATTTGTGTAATTATTCGTTGGAGGGACTGTAACGTGTGGGTAAACAAGGAATTGTCAGCAAGTAATGTTATATTTATCTGCAGATATATTCGGGAGGTCGGTTTATTTTCGCTTTGAGTGATGGAAAACGATCGTACATAAAATGGAGGACTTACGATATTGTATGAAGAATCAGTGATGAAATAGAAGAATGTTGAGTAAACCTTGGAAGAAAGGGATATGGCGGGGTGAGGGGAGCTTTGCTAGTGGGGCATCGGCTATCTGAACTGTACCGACGTGGCATTTAGCGCGATAGGCGCGTGATATCTGTGTTTCTGATGGGGAAGGAGGATGATTTGATATGTTTCAAAGTTTGTAGATTATGTCTCATAATGCTGGTCACAAGAGGCGGAGTTAGGGGTTCAGCCTTATTAAGATTAGATGGTTTTGTTTTTTCTGATTAAAATACTGTTTATTGGTTTCTGTTATGTTTTGTTCCATAAGGGATTCGTGTTTCCATTAACGGCCGCGAGCTCCTCCTTTCGTAGAATATCACGTATTCTATCCAGAACTGTCTCTTGCACCATGATAATACTTAATTAGCAAGAAAATCAATAGCAGTAATCACAGCACTATTAATACTATCAAAAGCAGCTTCAATCATATGTGGCAGTGACTCCTCTTCAGATGGCTTCTCAATCAAGACTTTTTCGAAAGCTTGGAAATCTCTCTTCATCACTTCCAACCTCGCGATCACGCTCCCCAAAAGACCATTCGATGCAAAATCTGCTTTTTTCGGTTTCAAGTCATCCATCAGTCGGACGATGTAAGAACGTAAGCTTTGACTTATCAGCCGCACAATTTCATCCAACTCCGTTGGTGTAGATGGGACCAGGACAATGGTATCCGCGATTGCTTTTTGAGTTCCGTTGTGAACAGTAGTAAAGCCGGCGTCTATGAGAGTGAAATTACCAATGGAGCCATCATAGTAATAAACGTTTTCATTGACGCTCCTTACATCTACAGTGAGAGATTGAACGTCGAGATTAACGCTAGCTGAGACGGAGAGGGCTATTGTAGCAAGATAGAAGATGAAAGTTTTGATGAATAATCCCATGATTGTGGTTTTCCTTTTGCACAGCGCAGAAGCTAGAGGGTTGTGATGATAGCGGTCTCTGAAGAATGAAGATATAAAGATTCATCGGTCTTGCAACACATGGAGATTGCATTATAGTACTTATAGTCGCCTTTCATAATTAGTTGGTACCCAGGTAAGACTTATCAATAGTTGTAAAAACATGAAATCTCCACGATCTATAAGATTGATAAATCTTAATGACTTAGTCTTTACTTTAAATGTATGCTTATTGAGATTAGAAGGTTTTGTCTTTTTCAACAAAGTACTATTGATTTCTGTGATGTCTTATTTCATAAGGAATAAATTGTATATTCATCAACGATCACAACCCCCCCAGGGGATGAAATCTTCATTTATGTGGTGACCGGTAGTCAAGCTGTCGCTTATGGAAGAGAAGTCAATAGAGGTAGGATAGTCCTCGACAAAGGAGATGAGCTGTTCTAGCTTGTTTCGGATGTCGTTGGCCATAACTTCTGCTGAGACAGAGACGGCTGTTGTAGCAGGGTAGAAGATGAGAGCTCTGTTGATGAATTTCACGGTTATGGGTTTTCTTTTGTGGAGCGAAAAGTCTAGAGGGATATATGATTCTTTGGTAGATTCTATAACAAAAAATAAGGGAGATAGTATTTATGTTATGCTTTGTCAATGAGCAAGTGAGACTTGCCAACACATAAGCTGTGCCAAGTGGGCACGACAGATCTCAATCATTCAGCCTTTACTTGAACTTCACACTTGTAGATTTATAGCAAGACCAAAGCCAAACCCGTTTTCACATTCAATATAATGTTCCCCTTTACATCCTGGAAATCGATCGCCAATCTCCTGGTGTATTATCCTTGATCTTAAGAAAGTCTTATATCAAAACCGTATCGACTTATTCAAAGAATCTTACCTGCTTGTTCTCGTTGCCGGACTACATGCCTGACCAAGTATTACAAGCAGGAATATTGAGCTCGTGACAATCTTTGTCGTCGTTGCATCAACTGTAATCCGTAATTTTTCATTTTGCCTGGAGCCTTCGGTCAAACTTTTGAATGTACGGCCACGAAATAACAATTGAATCCCTTGAAAACCTTGAAACCCGTTCGAGTTACTCGAAATGATCTCGACTTCGAGAAAGATTATTCTTGGTACAGCTAGATCATTTATTGAAACTCGAATCCACAATGTGAATATTCAATAGTTATACTTATACAGCTCAAATTATACATAGAATATCAAATTGAAGTTGCAGTCATACAAAGTTTTTACCCAGGTAACCTATCGCCTAAAAGTAACGCGAGCCGCATTTGCTGGCATTGAGGGGCAGACCGCAGGCCGCAGACCGAGTTCTTCTTCCCCAAAGTTAAAAACCCTTCAATTCAAATTTTGTGAACAGGAAAAGATTTACATAAAATAAATCGCAAAAATGGCTACATCTTCAAACACTGAAGCTGATCCAGCTTCAGCATCTTTCGAAATTCGAGATCATACAAAATCGGTCAATTCCAAATCCGATGGCATTGAAGAAAATCACAACTCCCCAGCTCCTACTTCAACAACAGAGGGAGAAAACAATGATTCACAAAAGGATGATGCTGCTACTATGGCTGCCAGTGAAGAATTAAAGCATACAAGCATTTCAGACAAGCTTCCATTGCCTACAGAAACACCTTCGCAGATACCACAAACAGAAGCTCAAACAGAAGATAAGGATATGTCCGGTACAGACAAAGACACCACGCCCGAGGCTGAACCGACTGATGCGCAAGATGAGGAAATGAGAGATAGAGTTTCTTCGCCCAAAAAGAAGCGTGGCAGAGATCAAGATGACGATACAACTCAGGTGGAAGACGATAGCGCGAGAAATAATGGAACTACAAGTGAAGGAAGTTTAAATGGGAGTCGAACGATGAGATCAGGTCCAGAAAAGAAGAGACCTAGAGATACTTCACAAGAACCATCCAGAATATCAGATAAAGTTTTAGCAAAGGTAGATCTACTTTTATTTAACGTCGTGCCCCTAAGGTACCTAAAATTTTACTAATGGACCCTCTCAGGAGAGAAGCCAGAATGAGGCATCGAAGACCACCGAGACATCAACATCATCCACGGAGAATCCTATCAAGTCAACATTTGGGAGTACATCTGGTGATAAATTTGCAAGCTCAGGATTTGGTGCTTTAGCATCTGCTAGCACATCTCCATTTGGCACAATCGGCGCATCGAAACCTAGCGTTTTTGGTTCGGGGGCAAAATCACCACTATCAGGATTTGGATCTTTTGCCTCTGCCAAACCAACAAGCTCCACACCTACACCTTCAATCTCAAGCTCCTCGGCAGAAAAATCTACATCTGGGTTTGGAAGCGCATTCGGTGGTGGTGCCACATCAGGTTTTGGTGGATTAGCATCAGGGAGTGTATTTGGCAGTGGATTAAAAAATGGATTTGCTGGTGGATCTGGACCAAAGCTTTCGAGCTTTGCAGCTCCGGGCAAAGACAATGCTGGATTAGGCAGCAAGCCAGCCAAACCCTTCGGTGCTCCAGCTAGTGATGCGGAGGACTCTGACGATGACGAAGACGATAGCGATGATGGTGCTGAGGGCGATGAAGAGGAAGGAGGGGAGAGAGCAGTTGTTGAGGAAAAGAAAAAGACAAAGAAAGGTACAAATTCGATTCTGCGATTGTGATATGTTCTTGTTTCTAATCATCATCTAGTCCACATCGACGACGGCGAAGCCGACGAAGCAACCATATTACAGATTCGAGCCAAATTATTTGCAATGGGATCCAAGGAGCTAGGTTGGAAGGAGAGAGGAGTTGGTACTCTGAAAATTAATGCACCAAAATCATGCGTCGATTTCGACGAAAGTGGCCATGCAATTCCTGGCAGTTTCGATTCATCAATGCTGGAAGGAAATAGTGTACGATTGGTCATGCGACAAGAAAATACTCACAGAGTTATTCTGAATACTGTAGTACTGAAAGCTATGGAATTTAAACCCAAACCATCAACTACTTCGGCACAGGTCTTATTCACGGCTTTTGAAGGAGAAACGGAGGCCAAACCTATTAATATGATTCTCAAGGTTAGTACTCTCTTTGCATGTGTTTTTATAGAAGGCATGATTTCTAATCTCCTTGGGGATGGATAGATGAACGAAAACAATTACAAATTATTCACAAACGAAATCGAAAACATCCAACACGAGCTATAAGCTCGAAACATTATACCACAACGAATCAACCGATACCCAACACACCCTCAATCGAGTCCCAGATCTTTTTCTGCAGAATAACGAGGATGAGTATCCTGGGGGTCATCATTTCCTATCGTGCATACCCGGGTTATGCTTTCCGGCCGTTTCGGTCGATTTGCTTGGGAGGAGAACATTTAGAATAAAGCGAATATGGATGGATGGAGGCATGGGTATGATACGATAAGAATCATAAGGTAGTCATAATTCTACACCGTCGTTGTCTTCACACTCGTTTTTTGAGAGTGGAGTGGAGTAATAATATACCAGGCATTGCCTATTTTTTTCTATCTAATCGTTTTTTCTTTCTTTTCTTTCAAGCTTTCGAATCTTCTTTTGTGAGTGATGGTGAGGTTTTAAGAGCGATGCCTTTCCTGGGTCCCTTGGAGTTTATCTGGTTGATGAGGATTGCATAGCGAATGGGAGTGGGTGATCTTGAGGATTTTGGGGGTTGTGATTTTGGAGAGGGGGCGGAAAAGGCAGGCAAAATTCTGGGTGGACCGACTTGTACTTTGGAGGGGAGAAGGTATGAACGGAGGAAGGGGAGGAATGGAGGACCGGACCTTCTTTATAATTAGGTTGGGCAGGTACATTTGTATGAGAATATAATGGATTGTTATGTTCGTATGTGATTATGATGGATTATGTGTGTGTGTATGGATTGTTCTGGTGGGTTGCGTGATCTGATTGGTTTTGGGGGATAGAGTTGAGGTGATAGGCTGAGATGAAGTGAGGTGGGTTCGTGAGGTGATGGAACGGGAGTTGGGTGGATGAGGGGATCTTGCGGGAAGATATAAGATGGAATTATATAGTAGGTCTATATCGTACCCAGAGAGGCTTTGGATGTGGATGAGAAATGGGGGGAATAGAGAGAGGAATAGGAAGAAGGGAGGAGCGAGAGGGAGAACAAACCGACGAGTGTTATGGAAAAGCCTGGAGAGAGGTAGAGATATGGGAGGAAGGAGCGGGAAGAAGGAGGGAACGGGGCAGGAGCAGAAGTGGCAAACGGGGAGGAAAAGAGGTATCTAGTGATACTATATCGTATATTCCCGCGTATTGATTACGTTTAGGGAGTAGAGTGGATGACTTAACAGTCTTTATCTATCAACACCTTTGAGGGCTTTAGTCTTTAGCTTTAAATATTGTTTCTGGGGGGGGGGGTTCGAGGTGCGTGTTCATATGAACGGCTTTAGATCTCGTTACATATTGGACTTTAGCCGTTGGGTGAGGTTCGAGTAATGTTTTTGATCGGTTTGTTTTTCAATTGTTCTTTACATAGTGGTTATGCGATATTCTGGAGATCAACTAATTCTTGTGTTTGTGATATTTTTATCATGTGGCAAGTTTCTGTCTCTGATGCCTTTAAGAATTATGATATCTAGTATATAAATTTACTCAAGATTTGTTATGGGATCTTCAAATGACAAACTCTGTGGATCAAATCCATGCTCTATTCTGACGTGTCAGTAAGCATTAGTTCTACTTTGGGTACATCGATTTGTATGCTATAACGCGGGGTATCTTCTATCAAATTAATGTTGGATATACTTCATTTTGCGCAAACCTCCTACCAGTACTTAGCAACTAACTGAAGCTCCCCTTCGCGTTGATAGTAGAACTGAATTTATCTCCAACATGAAACAGCGATGTACATACTGTTCCAATCTTTCTCTATCTCACCTTATCGACCTCGCGAAGATAGACTTTAAAGGCCATGTTTTTCCAAATCAACCGACGACGGAAGATTCCATGGGTCCGTTTGTTTGGACTTCGTCGCTGGCGAATCCAGATAAATCGCCAAGAGAAAGAAAGCCAATGGCTTTTTATCCACATCACAAGTGTTTTCAAGATCTTGTGAAGTCCGCAGAGATAGGGTGTGATCTGTGTGAGGTTATATTGACCTGTTTGAAAAAGCGCATTCCAGGGGAGGACGAAGATAGCCGGGGAGGGAACGCAGATGAAATTTACTGGACAGATTTCAGCCGTCGTCGGGAGACTGATATAAAGATCTCGATTAATAGTAGTCATGTGTATCCAGATGCCACTCTTGATGAAGTACAAATGCTTGATACTATTCTTGTTCAAGTTGGTAACATCGGCGATCTAAGATCTGACTTCAAAACTCGTGGACGCTCTTTCGAGGTTCTTACGCAAAGTTTAACGATTATCACAAAACGCAGTACGTTACTTACGAATACATCTGAGCTGACGACAGCAAGTGTCTGCAGGAGCTAATTTATCATTGTCTCATTCGTAGACTCTCCAATTAGACTGAAAGATTTCCAAATAGGGAGGGCCGAAATTGATCCTGATCTTGGGTCCAAACTGAATTACGATATCACGAGGGGTTGGCTCAAGGAATGCTTGGAGTGTCATAGTTGTCACAACACGAATTTACCACAGCTTCCCACTCGCGTGATTGATGTTACGCCTAATCAGACAAGAATTATTCATTCAAATGGGATTAAGGCTCACTATATTGCATTGAGTCACTGTTGGGGTGGTCCGATACCCACTTCGTCAACTACAGTGACACTACCACAATACCAAAACGAACTTCCCTTTGAGCCATTGCCTGCGAATTTTAGAGATGCCATTACTATCACTAGAGAGCTAGGAGTTCAATATCTCTGGATTGACTCTCTGTGTATCATCCAAGACTCTAAACATGACTGGGAACAAGAATCTCAAAAAATGGGAACAGTTTATCGAGATGCATTGGTCACAGTATATGCAATGTCATCAGAGGCCAGCACTGGAGGTATCATTCCAAATCCTGCATGCCAACCTGTCGAAAAGCCATCCACCACTTTAGCTCTTACTGATGATAATGGAATGGAGGTAACTGTTAGAGTGGAACCTGCAGATAGAGACATTTATGACGAAGACTTACACCGTCTAGCAGAATCTTCTCCGCTAAGTAGTAGAGGCTGGACGTTTCAAGAATCCATACTATCTCCTCGTCACATCTATTATGGGAAAAAACAAATATACTGGGGATGTACACAGGGATTTCACGATCTTAAAGGAATGCCCTCCGGATATAGATTTTCACAAGAAGAGCACATAAATCGTTTATTGCCAGTTCTTCATTCCACCATACCGGACACCAATATGATTACAGACATGGAACGACTCATACTTCTTCGCAGTTTCCGTGATATGGTCTGGCAATACTGTCAAAGAGACTTAACATACGATACCGACAAACTTCCGGCAATCTCAGGTTTATCCCGACTTCTCCAGCCAGCCATTGGAGGAGATTATCTTGCCGGTTTGTGGAGTTGCGATATGCTGGATGAGCTTTGTTGGGTTCCTGAAATGAAATCTGGATGTTTTCACGTCAAGCCTTATCGTGCGCCCTCATGGTCATGGGCTGTCACAAACAATCGCGTTCAATTCCGTCGGGACACTATCATCGCACCTAAAGATCGAATTGCCGAGTTGAAAATTATAGACTATAAAGTAGTCCCAAAAGTTGAGAACAATCCTTACGGCGAGATAGAATCCGCATATCTAATTGTAGAGGGTTTAACTCTGCCTGTTCTACGAGCCTGGCAAACGAGACATCTGGGAAATTATGATTATGATGGTTTCTCGGGTATATATTGTTTTGATGATCCGGCCGGAATTTCTCACTACGAAGATTCTGAGCCCTCTGAGAATTACGGGTGGCTTCAGGCTTTTCGGAAAAAGAACGAGGGTAAGGGGGAGCAGATAATGACAGGTTGGGAAAATCGTTCGCGCAGTAAACGAGTCATTGATGTTGAGGAGGAGAAATGGATGAAGGAAGAATATATTGTTTTGCTTGTTTCGTCGACAAATAGAGATGATGGGGATGAGAGACCGTATGCCGAGTGCCTGATTTTGAAGAAAGTCGATCGGAACGAGCATGGCGATGATGATACAATAGATGTTTATGAAAGAGTGGGAAATTATGTGGTGCATCATGAACCGGAATGGTTGGAATCTTGGACTATGAAAACTGTGAAATTGATATAATATGAGATGAAGCAATATACACAATAGTATGACATATCTGTACACAAGATATTTCCTAGCTTTACTTAAACCTACATACAATATACTACTTCTATATTCAACCCACACAAACAAACAAAATGCCCCCCTAAACAGACCCCAGAAGAACCGAACAAAGCAAGCAAACAAATTCTATATAAAAGCTTTTCTCTTCAAATAACATCATACAATAGAATATGTGTCATTTCAGACTCATCTTCTCCTTCTAGGATTTGAATCCCCTTTACATATCTATGACTAAAGCTATCTAAATAAAATAACTACCTTGTAGATTGATTATAGAGTGTGTCTCACTATACATTTAGTATATACATAGCTAGGTATGTATGTAGTGAGATACCTGGATTAATATCAAGAAAAATAAATATACAGACAGTGCCACACTAAGTCTCAACCTCACTCACTCACTTCCTATCCCTGCCCTCTACCTACCCCAGCTCCATATCCATGATGACGAACTCTCCCCAAAGACCCCCTTTCCCCTTCCTCCCTCCCTCTCCTCTCTGTCCATCTAAGCATAAAGAAACATACCTAGCTCTCAACTACCACTATCTATCCAATCATCCACAACTAACCAAAATCAAGCCATCAAGCCATCAAGATATCAAGCCATCAATAGCCTACACCACAAACACCACAAAAACCATTTCCATCTCAAGAAGTATTCCACTCTAGTATCAACACTGACACTATCTAACACTATTCAGCTAACATCCTAACGTATTCAAAAAGACAAATGGATCTCATCACCTCTCTCCACTCTTTATATCCTTTTTCATCTTTCAGATGATTCTTTCCTGTAAAGATTAATCAAACTCCATCCATCCATCCATCTCAGAATATATGTTATATATTTCTATTCTCACCAACCATTAAAGAGCCCAGGAATGACACACAATTAGAACAACCAGCTATTCTGTACAAATTTTCACAAAACAGTTTTCACTCATCAATATATACTCCCTGCTAAATACTCCCCCAGATTCACTAAGCTTCCCGAATTATCCAGTAGAAATATCAGATACATATCCTTCGAATCTGTTCAATTCTAAAATATATAGGTACCATACCAAAGGAAAAAACTTCTCACAACCACTCTCTCATTCCAGTATCTTCCACTCCCAGTCCAGTCCAGTCATGTCTAGTTAAACCAAGAACCTGATGTCATATTCAAATTCTAAAGTAAACACCAGTACTATTACTCTACTAACCGAACCAAAACCGCCTACATACCAACTTAGCTACCGTACGAACCTCCTCGAACCAACCAATCCCCTCGCTTAAAACAACCCTTCCCTGTCCTTCAACAATACTTCACTCCAAACACCCATCATCCATTCATCCATTCAATCATTCACCCATCCCCCGACTATTCACTCATCTCGACTTCTTAACCCCTCATAAAAACCCCCAAATCTCCAATCTCCTCCCCCCACCTCCCGAAACCCCCAACATCCATTTTTCCAACTTAAAGATATCTTGCACATCAAATATTTCCCTGGTTCAATCTCCAATACACACATTCTCATAAAAGATATTCTTGTTCTTTCCCTTTCCCAAGAGCTCGAGACTCTTGTATTTGCATCTGGAACAACTCCCCTAGGAATAAGAGAACCGTTTTCAACCAACACGTCGCTGTATAGCGGAGACCAAGCATCAATTTTGTTTTCAGAATATCTTCTTCAGTCTCCTTCATTCCACGTGATTTCACTGGCGACACTGAGTTCGAAGATTCGTACATTTGCTAGATCGATCTAAAGACACTTTCGAGATCTATATCTTTTAGTCTTCCTCGATCTGCAAGAAACAACTAAGCTCTCAAACCCCATATTCTGCTACAATCTCTGAGTGTTCAACATGTCGAATTTCCCGCCATCGTTTGGTCGAGGAAACACCTTCTCAGGCGTTCCTCGCAAGAATAGTAAGGCAATCAATCTATCCATTTCTCTTCGCTTAATACTAACGACCTCATTAACAGGCCTCGCAGAGGAAATCATGAATGCGACCATGGAAGGCGCTAGAAATGCGTTGGACTCGAGTAAGAGTTCGGGTGATACTAGCGATATATATTTTGGTACGTTCTTCTACCTGCCCTATTCTTACCCAGTGTATTTGCTGACATGAAGAGAAGACACACACTATTACTGCGATACTGAGACCTCCGAGGAGGAATACAGCACCATGACAACCGATACAGAGATCGAAGCTCCACTCCCACCATCAAGAGGTCTTCTCCCTAGCGAACAACCACTGATTCCCTTCGTTCCCGCTCGATTAAAGAAAGGCGAACGAGCCATGATCACTCCAGATATCCAAGCTCTACTAAACAGAGCCGGAGTGCAGCCCAACCCCAAATACGAGGGTGAAATCACCGCCGAAGTTCTCAACGACTTGTTGACTCCAGCCGAGGAAAACTGTGCGCTGCACATCACGAATATCCACCCCAAAGCTGAGATGGCAGATCTATTCTCTACAATTCACCATGGGAAAGTCTATTCCGTTGCGTGGAATGCGCCGAATGAAGAGTGGACCCATGCAGCTGCACGACTTTGCTTTTGCGTACGCGAAGCTGCAGAAAGATATCTCGCGGATAGTGAGACGGGTGATGGGATCCAAATCCTGGGGCAGCGAATCACAGCAGAATGGAACCGAAATAGAAAGTGTCCTGTCCCAGAGGACGAAAGCCATCAATCTCGCGTGGTACAACTTCGCGGTCCAAGATCTTTCGGGTTCTCCGCTCAAGATCTTCTAGATTTCTTCGGCAAAGACATGAAATTATTCATCATCTCCCGAAAAGAATGGGATCACCAGACCGATCAAAAAGTCGTAGAATTAGCTTTTTGCGGGATCAAAGCTCAGTCTAGAATGGCATTCCGCTGCTTCAAGCAGAAAGTCGCAGCACAAGGCTTAGGAGATCAGTTCGACATCCGATTTGCTCCTGACCCATGTGATCCAAATGCGGTTCAGGGCAGAGACATGTTTATGCCTCGACCACGTACACGTCAAAACACGCCGCCACCACCACCACCACAGCCTCGTACATTGGATAGTATTCGTACATCTAGTTGGCGTGCTGGGGCATCGTACGGACCGAATAGAAATGGAAATACAAACTCAGCACAGCGAGCTGGACGAAAATATGAGAAGGGTACCGGCCCAGATGCAAAGTGTTGGAGACGTTCTGAGTGAGACTACTAGAGAGAGACGAGATTGACTCTAGAGTAACAGTAATACAAGATGATAGATCCCCTGCGCACAGATTTTCGGTCATAAGCTCCTCCCGTCTTGAGGGGAGTGGCACATTAAGGTCAAAAGTCATATCATTGACCATCTTATTCCTTTCACTACACATTGATACCACCACCAGCGAAGGACCCCCACAGCATACCTCATCTGTAATAAAACAGACATGATTGACCTCCATTTGACAGGCTTTATCAAAGCAGAATCTACCAGGCGAGCACGTCCGTATCATATTCTCATCACATAGTTGCTCTGCACAACGAAATATAAATAACCACGACCGAATATTCATCACGTATTACGATACCTCATAGCGAGTGATGGTGCCTCGGCTTCTCCATCCCTATATCAGACTCCAAAGAGTCTAATGTTGGCAGAGAGCTTAATTACGAGGCTCTAGGTTGGTGGTGGTAGCGTTTGATTTATTGCATATCGAGGACTTGCGTGTAGCTTCCAGGACAAAAGTTCATCGTTGATTACTATTATGAAAACCACAAACCATAAACCATGACTTTGTCTGATATGATGTGATATGATGAAATGAATGCGGCTCATTATTGTGTGCTTGGAGGAGAGTTCGTATGCGAGTAGCTTCTAGGCTGATATGGACAAGATGGACAAGATGGGCAACTCCTGCTATGGAGATAACTCGAATGCTTCTGAGTATCGCCTGTCTTTATTCTGAGAAGAGTGCCCAAGTCATTCCTTGCCGTGGATGATTCAGGCACAATCCAGCATGAGCTCGTGAAGTATCTGTAGAATTTCATGTGGAAATGCATACAATGAAACTCGAAGTTAAGATGCATCTTGCCAAGCAGTTCGAGTAAGCTGTGGAAGAAAGAGACTATATCCCTAGGCCTTCGCGAAACTCAGGGTAACTCCCTTTCAATAGGCTCCAGCTCAATACTTAAACTTCCAAGTGATATCCAGAAAGCACCAGATCCCATCCGTAAAGTCCGTTAGCCCACAAAACAAAGTCCAATCGGAGTAAAAGAAGAGTGCAGCTTCCCCAACAATGCAATGCAGCCTTGGAGCAGACATAACCAAACAAGTCCTTAACCACAAATTTCTTTTTCTTCCAAACTATCTTTCGCTATCCACCACCACCCTGGTATCATCCTGGTACATTCCGCCTTATCATTGCATATCAGTATTCCAACACATCCACAAAAAGTACCGATTACAAAAACAAAGCTCATTCGAAAGCAGAGCCGTTTGTTTCTCCTCCTTCGTATCGATGTAGAATTGCTGCCTGGTTCGAGATCCTTCCACCCAATCAGTCGAAGGGTTTTCCCCCCTATGGTTACCTGCATATTGACTTGGATAAATGGTTACATCCTAGTTCAAACTCCGTACTCAACTTCGAAATTTATTGGATTTCTTAAAACTTTGAGATTGATTAACATTAACTATCATCGTCTCTTGCACAACTGTTTTCAAAGATATCATCACAACAGAACGCTGGTTTTGATCTTCCTACGTCAGTCTTGATCCTTTTCCAGACTCGTTTCCTTGAACACAAACGAAAATGGTCCATCAACTAAGTACGTGGGAACTTTCTCTTCATCGTGCAAAGCAACAATTTCGTGACCATCAACACGAATTTCAATATAACGATGGGAGGATTAGAATTTCCAGCAAGCTGCCAAATTCGATGCAAACCGACTCCGAAATGAGAACCACCACGAATTCTGATTATAAGCAGAACATTTGCTGTTTGTACTGAAGCCAAGCTCACACTGTACATTGCTGACTCGAGACAGATAATAGCAAGTCCCCCTTCGATTCATGGTTTGAGTCTATTACTGAGGCGGTCGATCCCCACGAAAAACATACTCCATGCGTTCCATCAAACTTAGGTATGCAAGTATTTGACTATGCACAAAAGCCTGACAGCTTTTCATCCAAAGTGAGTTCAGCATTCAATGCCAAAGATCCATTCACCGCAACATCTGGTAGAGTTTTCAATGAAAACTATGGAGGTACCATGATCCAATACCTCGCAAAGACCACTGAGAGGCAGATCGGATTCAACAAGTCCTTAGCTGATAACCACTACACTCGATCCCCTTCAATGTCCTCGGGTCCAAGTTTATCATCTTTGTTTGCATCGGCTACATCGACTACATCGACTACATCGACTGACATTACGACGCCAGTGCTTGACGGAAACCATTTTCAAATACCCAGCTGGGATAAAGCTATGCAACCCATGCCACTTATTGACACCTCAAATGGTCTTCATAGATACGAATCATTGGCCAAGACACCCCAAGACGTCCTGGTGCTAAATAAGTATCCAGTGCACCAAGATGTGAATGAAAAGGCATCCGAGTTCATTCCGTCAGCAATCCTCAAGGGCGAAAGCCGTCCGACCAATCCCGAAATGATTCGTAAAGCTGCGGAAGTTGGTCTTCCTTCCAATCCGAATTATAAAGGCGAATTCACCAACTTCAATCTCCGCAATGCGATGTGTCTCGACCACGAGAATTGTTCTGTGAGAATCCATAAAATTCCTCCAGAAGCTAATCATTCCGAGATCTTCGCTTTGATTACCCATGGCAAGGTTTTCTCATTCAACTACACCCCTCCCGTCAAAGGGCTTTTTACTCACGCCGCTGCCGATCTTGTCTTCCTCACACGAGAGGCAGCACAAGACTTCTTTCATGACGCTAAGCTCGGCCGTGGACTTTATATTCGCGGGGAGAGGCTCATGGTCATGTGGAATAGGATTAAAGTGATGCCAGCGGAAGGTCGATATGAGAGAATGTCAAGAGTGGTCAGAATTAAAGGTCCAGCCACAGAATTGTCGGCAAAAATTGTCGAAGAATTCTTCCGGGGCAGATTTGAGTTTGATCTCGTCACGAACAAGGAATGGATCCAGAGAGACGGGTGGAGAATTGTCGAACTAGCTTTTTCGTCTATCCGTAGTCAAAGTGAGTCAGCAGTGAAAAGTTTCAACATTTACGTCGAACAGAGAATGCCGAATGCTGGATATCGTATCTGGTATGCTCCTGATCCATGCTTCAAGCTTGATCGCATAGGAAATTTTCGATTATCCGGAAATTAAGGGGATTGCCTTGATTGGATAGGAGTTAATTTTCCGGCACTGGATTGGTTTCTCGTGACAGCCTTTATTTGCTAACTTGTGAACGGCATCTCGTTAAGCAATAGAGCTTCCCTTTTTCGGGGCGGTTGTCTGTCTTTCTTTCTTTCTTTCTAGAATTCCAACTTCGAGCGAGTATTCCGGACGCAAATAGGTCTTGACTGCAACTTATTCAATCCATATCATTTGACCTGACAATTTTGCGATTCAAGATCATGCACCTAGCGATTAATATAGGCCTTTGGTTTGAGCTCGTCCGCTCTCTTTGGAGCAGTGCATGCATATGGATGATGCCTAGGATGTGTGTGTCTTCTTTCAAGTGGTCTAAGAGGTGTGTAATCAAGAGCACAAGTAACAAGTCTGCAATGGTGGTGAAACCGAGGCATGATGTAGGCTCATGAATCCTGGAAATTGAGAATCGATTAGGCTTTCCGGATGAATGAGAAATGTGAATGATTAAGCTGAAAAGCCGAAAATTCCAAAAAAAAAAAATCTCTATGCTTATTCGTAGCTCCAATCTCAAATTGCCAAAGCTGTCAGATCTAAATCGACATGGTGAAACGTGCATCTTTCCATGAGCTCATTAACTCAATTCACCAGACTTAGTAAGGATCTTCATTTACACTATTAGACTGTCGTCGCATTGATATTCGCATAGCATTAAAGCCTTTCCCGCTTTTAACCTCAAATACTCTAGTATATCACAAAAACACACCATATACTTTGCGCCGCACTCACGGGCTTGTCTAGAATACCTTTTTTCATTCTCAGATCTATCAATATCTACAAAAATACAAATAACAAATGCGCATTCGCGAGTCTCTTGAAATGCTCTACCAAAATCTGATTCACATCAGTACAGACGGAGCAAGAACCACAGATTAAATTGGCCATTGTGCCTCGATCACCAAACAGTCTGAAAAGTTCCACACGCGACGAATTCAAGGTTAACATAGTACAACACATCATATGCCCCTCCATGGCAGCTTATTTCCATCTCATCAATTCAAACATGTGGTGGAACAACTTTTGGCGGATTTGGGTAATAGAAAGCTGCCACGGCGATATTGATATACACAAGTACGCAAAGAGCACCTTCTAAGTAGTTAGATCTGCAATCTTTCAAGAAGTTCCCAACCACCAGGATGGATAGAATCAAAACGACGATAATAAAGAGATCGAAATTTAAATCCATTGGGATGTCAACGATCCAGCCAATGATAACAACAAGGGGGGCGTTGAAAAGAGCAGTTTGAATGGTAGCACCTAAAACATGTGAAAGAGCCAGATTCATGGAATTGTCGTGAGCTTCGTCAATGGCTGTGAGATGTTCGGCGAATTTCTCGACAAGTGGAACCAATATCAGACCAACGAAGCTGTCGGAAATGCCATCTTCATCAACAATAAATTCAATGCTTTCCACGAGTCTAATAGCAGTAAATGTAACCATGCTAATTGCAACAATCAATGCCACAACGCATTCCGTAAATGTCAACTTTTCCTTTAAGAGATCTTCTTCATAATCTTCTTGTTTATGTTCATCGGCCTCAAAAATCGCGTCGTATATAGATTGGTGAGAGCGCATTTGGAAGTATACGTATAAGGCGTACGAAATTATCAGTAGGATAGACGTCATTCGTGAAATGTGGAGGACGGAATCAGCGAGCACGAAAGGATCATAATCAGAGTTGGCACTCTTAACTGCCATGTTGAAAGCCGCGGGTACAATGAGACCGAGTCCACTGGTTCATTAAGTTAGACGATGCTTTTTAATGAGATCTAGAAGAGCACATACGCCTGAAGAAGCAAATCACTTCCAACTTCACTAATTTCCTCATCAAACTCTTGCTCATCGTGTGTCAATCCTCCTACGAAGAAGCACATGCCTAAACATAACAATTGAGTGGCCAATATAGAACCCATGATAGCGGCTTGCATGACTTGAAATTGTTGCCTGGCAAGAAGTACCATGAACATTACAATTTCAACAACAGATCCGAGAGTAGTTTCCATCAAGATGCCGAATACTTTATCCAATTTTCGGGATAATTCTTGACCAGCAAAACCGATGAGATTGGCAGAAGGGATCATGGATAAATAGTTGAGAATGAATATAACTGTATGCCATTCTGGACGAGCATATGTAATGACGATAGCAACGGGAACAATGGGCCAAAGAAAATTGACGGCTTGTGAAGCACTACTTGAAGATTTCCAGCAAAGTTGGATACACTTGATAGGACTTAATCCTCTTCGACCACTTTCACCTTCTGGGGCAATACCTGTTGTCACCCTAAATCCTAGGTGGTTTACCTCGAAACCAGGAATGAGTCGATCCTCTTCAGTACTTTGTGGATCTCCACTCTCTGCACGAGCTTTATTCCTAGCAATAATAACTTCATCTGGTAGGCTTGAAAATGAGATCTGAATTGAATGCTTTAATGGCGGACGAAGGCCACCGGAATTTCTGGAGCCATTTGACGGGTTGAGTGCACTTGTAGATGCCATTGTTGAGGTTGAGTTGTGTGTTTTCTGAGGGAGACGAGGGGGGTGCAGAGAGTGAAGGAAGTGAAGAGAGAGGAGCAAGAAACATGATGACAATAACTGTGTACCTACAAAAGGAAATTCTATAGAGAAGTCTCAAGTCGTTCCTGCCATTCATCAATTGCACCCATCATTTACCTAATAGCCAGGGACGGCCATCGCGACTTCCACATATCATTCTTGCTCAACCGGATTGAATCTCGGGAGGGAGTCAAAGAGTAGAATTGTAGACTGGATGAGCATTGTACAAGTCTAGATATGCAGGATTTGCTCAACCTTTATCTATATCAGCATTGCGATTGATAGCTTTGATGATTGACCGGCATTTGATGAAGATGATGGTGTGGTGCCCAATTGAGGAAACCCGGGGCGGAAAAACCTTTGGCCATAGACTAAAGTTAAGTTTCAAGTTACAAATCGGATTTCACCAACTTAGAAACCCAAAAATGGTCGATCAACTGCGAAGTCCGATGCGAGCGTCATAACTTACAAATTACAACTCGGACTTCATACATAACCAAGATGCCGAAATCTTAAACTTCAGCTCTAGATCGTCATAGGTTCAAGTGTCTTGCACGCTCAGAAATCACAACATGGTGTGAGACGACATTGGAATGCTTTGTCAATTACACAAGAGGCTGATTGCTAATCCACCTGCACTATGGCTTCTAGCCCGCTTGCTATATCAGCTCTTTCCCATCTAGGTATAAGTATTTGATCTTGTACACATTGAGACTTTGACGATCACTGTTTAAGAAACATATCAAGAGCTCTTCGGCCTTGACCCATCATCATTATTATTCGCACAGCTTCTTTTCCTCAAAATGTCTCCTGCAATTCCTAAAGATTCGACAGTCCTTGTTACCGGTATCAATGGCTATATTGGATCTCATGTAGCTGACCAACTGCTCAAAGCCGGGTATCGAGTAAGAGGTACTACCAGAGATGCTTCAAAAATGAAGAACTTGCTCGACCTTTGGGAGGAGCAATATGGAAAGAACAGAGTGGAAGTAGCAGTTGTACCCAATATGGCCGAAGATGGAGCTTTTGATGAAGCTGTGAAGGGTGTAACTGGAATTGCACATGTAGCATCAAACATGTCCTTCTCACCAAATCCAAATGATGTAAGACTTTATTCGTTCCATTGATAATACGTGTCTAACATCCGAACCCTCATTCAGGTTATTCCAGAATGTCTCGCTGGTGTAAATGGTCTTCTTGAGTCTGCAGCGTCAGAACCAAGTGTTAAACGTTTCGTCATTACATCCTCGTCTATGGCCACAACAAGCCCGAAGCCCAACAAGGAATTCTACATCGATGAAAATACATGGAATGATGAAGATGTCGAGGCAGCGCATGCTCCACCACCATATGAGCCTTCGAGAACATGGGCTGTCTACGGTTCTAGTAAAGTTGAGTCCGAGCGAGCGGTATGGAATTTCGTGAAGGAAAAGAAACCAGGCTTTGTAGCCAACTCGGTCCTGCCAGATACGAATATGGGTTTGATTTTAGATCCAGCACAAGGTTCTACTGGTGGGCTTGTTCGAAAGCTTTTCCTGGGAGATAACTCCGGGCTCAAAAACCTTCCTCCTCAGTATTTCATAGACGTACAGGATACCGCCCGTCTTCACGTCTCTGCATTGATTGATGAGGATGTGAAGAATGAGAGATTATTTGCTTTTGCTGAACCATTCAACAATAATATCTTATTGAGAACTTTCCGCAAAATTCGACCCGATGCCAAAATCATGGATGATTTTCATGATGATAGTGTTAATGATCTATCCAAGGTTGCTAATCAAAGAGCTGCAGAGCTTTTGAGAAGGGACTTTGGGCGTGCTGGTTTTACAAGCTTGGAGGAATCTTTGGCCAACAACATCCAAGGACTTTGAGTTTTGATATAATGGGATATGAAATTAAGCCGAGCATTTCTGATTACTGTTACTGAAATATATCATTGGCATTTTTGCTTGCTGTTTTCTTTGTGACTTCAGACTGATGGATTGTACCCAAGTATCCGTAGTGGACATTCCTCCAATGTCAATTGATAAGTTATAACATTGTCCATAACTATTTTGCCTTACCTTTCAAGTCGAGCTTTGGATATCGATCATACTTGCAATTATCTCGGCAATCCTTGAGTAAAACCCACAATTGATGTACACTTTATAGTACCAATTTCGAATTCTGGACAGAATTTGATTCACTATTACTTTCCAGAGTTCAAATTCATCGAATGTGAGGGATGCACCGGTGAATCGATTTCTGGCAGCGCTTCAGATACGAGGCCTTTCACAAGACTCGGAGTTGAATGCCGGTCTGTTCATCAAGCTCAATGCCACTATGAATACAAGTGATTGACATTGATACCGTAGACGTGTTTGCCCCAAATTGGCAATTTTGTCGCATGGGAAGTCCAC